ATTAATTACATTTCTTTTTTATTTTTAACCCTCTTTACCTTAATTACCTATATAATAATCCTTAAAGGTATAAAGCTCTTTTTATTATTATATCTTTTCTTTTTATTACTTAACTTTTATTACTTACTTTTTACTTTATTATTTATTTTCTTTATTTCCTTTTTTTATAATTAAAAATTAAAATATCTTTTAATTAAAAAAGCAAGGCAAAGAAGCAATTTTAATCGCCCTTATATTATAAAATACCTTAAAACCTTAATATCTTAATTTTAATAATTAAGCCTATTAATTTAAAAAAAAATAATTTAGCGCTAATAATTATAAAACTTTTTTACTTTAATAACTTTAAAAACTTACTTAATAAAGCATTATAATTCTTAAATATTATAAATATTTAAAATTAATAAAACTTTACTTAAAAAGTAAATATTAACTTTTTTAAAAATCCCTTTAAAATAAAAATTATTATAAATAAAGTTTACTTAAATAATATTTAATAATTTTAAACCTTTAATTAATTACTATTTTTTAATATAAAATAAATAGCATTTAATAATAAGCTTATAAAAATAATATAAAAATATTTCTTAAATATTAATTTTTATTTTAAGCTAAGAAAATTAGCTAAGTTAATAAATTTAATAAAATAATATTAAATTTTCCTTATTTTTAATTTCTTTAATATAAAAAGAATGCTTTATAAATATAAAGAATTAAAAACTTAATATATTATAGCCCTTATAATTTAATAACTTCTTAACTTTTAAAATATTATATTTTTACTTAAAAAACCTTTATATTATAATTATACCTTACTTAAGAAATATTAATAGCATAAATTAATAAAAAATTATAAATTCATTATTATACTTATTTATATATTTAATTATTAAATAATAGCAATTTTTAATAAAATAAAGAATCATTACTTATTATAAAATAATTTTATATTAAGAAATAAAAAAAATCAAATAAATAAGGATATTAAAGCGCTTATTTATAAATATTTAATAGCTGCCTTAAAAAATAAAATGCAAGATTTTAATAAAGAGTTTATATTAAAATTAAAATAAATTAATAAAATATTTTATAAATAATACGCTATTAAGTTTATTAAAAATTACTTTAAAGAAAACTAAGAAAAGAATAATTAAAAGGTATAAAATTAAGCTAAGGCTTCTTTAATTAAAACTATATACTTTAAAATACTTAAAGCTGCTATTAATATTACTACTTAAATATTTACTATTTAATTAAAGCTTAATAAAATTAATAAAGCTATTTAAATATTTATATTAATTCCCCTTATTAAGATTAATAATATAAAAATAATTAAAGCAAGAAATAAGCTCTTATTATAAAGAAATATTATTTAATAATAGCTATTTAAATTGCAATATATTAAAATTACTATTAATTATAAAAAAAGCATAAGAAAAATAATACTTTTAATATAAATTAATTTAATAACTTAATTTTAAATATTTAATATATAATAAAGCATAAACTTTTAAATAATTTAAAATTAACTAAGCATAACTTTAATTAAATAAGCCTTTAGCTTAAACATTATATTATAAAATATTTTAAAGCTAGCAAAAAACGCTTATCTTAGCATATATAAGGATCTTTTATATTTATTTATTTTAATAATAAATATAAATAAAACTTAAAATGCGTTAATTAATTTAAAATAATTAAAATAGTAATAAAATTTACTTAAAAATAATTTAAAAGGCTTATAAATAAGCTAATTAAGCAATTAAATATAAAGTATAAATATTAAAAGCAAAAACATTATAAAAAATAAAAGCAAAAGTAAAAGCTTTATATAAAATAAAAGTAAAAGTTAATAAAGCTAATATATTATATTTAATGCAATAATTAAAAAAAAAATTTACTTCTTATTTTATAAAAATATTTAAATCTTTAATAGCTATATTAATATTAATTATTAAAGCAAACTTTAATAGCTAGGAAGATATAATTAATAAATATGCTATTAAGTAAATCTTAAGAATATTTAAAGCTTTTATAAAAAAATAAAAGCTATAATAAAATAAGCAAGCAAGAAATTAAAAATAATAATAATAATTAAAATTATAATAAAGTAAATTTTAAAACTTAAAAGCTTAATTAAAAATAATAAAGTTTTATTTTAATAATCTTTATAATACTTATTATAAAGTATTTAAAAAAAGATATATTAATAAATATAAAGAAATATATAAAAAATAATACCGCGTTAAATTTTGGCTAATTATAAAAAGCTAGCTTTTATGCTTATTTTAAATATTCTTTTAAAAAATTAACTCTTCTCTTTTTTTATATATTTAGTGCTTTAATTCAGCTTTTCTTATTTTTAAGAATTTTTAAAATATTTATCTTTTCCCCTTTCTTTAATTCCCTTTTATTCTTATCTTCCTTCTTTATTATATTAAAGCTCCTCCTTAAGTTATCCTTAAAAGGGTTTAGTAAAACCTATCCCCTATTATTTAAGTGGCTTGTTTTCAATGCTTATTTAGCTTTTATTTATTAATTAAAGGTTGCATTTAACTTATTTATAGCTGCTTAAATTATTAATTTAAGTAAAAAAAATTATATTAAGCTTAATAAAAAGCTTTAATAATAAGCTAATTATCTTAAATGCAATATATAATATATATTATTTAACTTAATTATAGCTAAATTGCTTATCTTTATTAATAATTCTTTTGCTAATAATTAAGATTTTAGCTTTTAAATAAGCTTTATTATTACTTTTATTAATAAAACTTAAGATAATAGCTTTATAAAATTAAATATTTATAATAATATTATTTATTAATTTTTTATTAAATATAAGAAAGTTATTAAAAGTATTTTAACTTTTAAGATTTATAATATAGTTTATAAATTTAATATAAATATTATTTTAATAGCTATTTTATATTAAATTACTATTTATTTTAATATTAACATTATTTTTTTTATAATTTATATAAATTTATACTCTTTATATAAATATTTAATTAAGCTTAATATAATTAAAGAAAAATGCTTTATAATTAATTTAATAATACTTTAATAATTATATAAGAAATATAAAATCTTTAAAATTTAATAAATTATTAATAATTATAATTTAATAAATACCTTTATAAAGAGTATATTAAATAAAATTTTTAAGCAGTTTATAAATATTAATAAGATTATAATTAAGATATAAAAATATATTAATTAAGAATAATTATTTATTTAAGTAAAAGGAAAAGATATATTAAGATTTAATATATTGCTTATTATTAAGGAAAATATTTAAATAAAAGTTAATAAAAATTAATAAGTTAAGATAATTATAATAAAATTATAAAAAAAAAATTATTAAAATAATTTAATTTTTATTTTTATTTAATAAAAATATATAAAATTAGCAAAAGTTTAAAAATTTTTTTTATTAATTAATTATAAATTACCTTAAGAAATAATATAATATAGTTTATATTTAAAATTACTTTCCTTTTAAAAGTAAACCTTATAATTAAGATTTTTATAATAATATTTATGCATTAAGGGTTTAAATAATAAGGGTTATTATTATTTTATAAGTACTTAAGTTATTAGCTTATGTTTAATAAGCATCCTTAATTAAATTTTATAGTTTAATACTTATATATTAATTTTATATATATTTTTATTTATTAACTTAATTAATATTAAATAATCTCTTAATATTTAACTTTTCTTCTTTATTTAAATATCTTATTTATTAACTTTTATAACTTATCTTACTCATTTTTTTTTTATAATTAATTAATCTTTATTTAATTATAGAAATTAAGCATAATTAAGCTTAAGCTAAATTAAATTAAAGTATATTATAAGTTAAAGATTAAATAATAATATTATTAATTTAAGGGTTTAATTTAATCTTTATTTAACTTAAGCATTATAAGTAATAAAAGCATAAGTTTATAAAATATATTATAAATAAAATATTTATATAATAAAAGTAATAATTTATACTTTATTAATTAATATAATTAAAATAATTTATTATATATAATTATTAAAATAATCTTTATTTAATAATTATATATTTTAATAAAATAATTAACCTTTAACTTTTTAATAATAATTTAAGCTTTTTTATATATTTACTTTTTATAAATATTTAATATAATTAAATAAATATATATTTTTAATTAATTTAATTAATTAATAAATTTAAACTTAATAACTTTAAGTTTAATTTAATTTCTTTTTTTTATATACTTTTTAAAGATATATATTAATTACTTAATTAAAAATTATTAGTATAATTATAAATATGCCATAAGGGGATAATAGCATTAGGTATAATAGGCATTATAAGCATTATAAGTAATTGGCACTAAAGCACTAGCAGGCAAGGGTTATATGTAGCAACACGTAACCACCCTTAGATAGTTTATAGCCAAAAGGAGATTCTGCAGCCTATGGCCGCAACCTTCCTTCCTTTTATATAGCCAATTCAAATACAACCAGTCTGCTATCAACCAACATATGTTAACCCAGCCAACAATAGCCTAGATATCTAGAATATTCCAATACATCCACCCAAAGCTGCGGTCTTGCTAAATTGCACTCCCAAAGCAAGTCTGCCAGAGGAGACCGCCAATTATGGAAGTTCCAGCCAGCCAAAACCCGCACCTGAACCACCACCAACAACTAGATGGGTCCTTCAGGTCAACCTTTGCCACCATTGCCCCTAGAGACGCCACACATCCTCCGACAGTGATGGCGAAGTATCCTAGGTCCGACTGCAGAAGGTAACCATGAATACAGAGAAGCCCAACCAGGGCGCTGAGGCACACCCACAGGAAGGGCTTCGTGTGCTCCCGGAAAAAGACAGCAGTGCTCTTCAGGCCAATTCTGGTATCATCCGAGATGTCCTGGAAGGCGTATATCGTGTCATAAATGACTGTCCAAAGCACCGAAGAAACAAACAGACACGAAGTCGGGGCCAAGGCACCCTCTTATCAGGGCACAACACCCATTGCTGCCGTCCCTACGTTGACTCCCCAGCCAAGACTGATACCCAGCACCAATTGCGCCGCGTGAGTGTGTAGCTTGGACCAGGGGTAGTAAAAGTTGGCGACGATGCTCGGGGCGGCAGCGACGGCGACGACTCTAGGGAGAGCGAGCAACACGACAGCTGCCAACAGCACCTGTGACAAGGTGAACAGCAGGGCGCCGCGTTTCGATACGGCGCCCCTCACGATCGGGCGGTCTTTGGTCCGTGTGACGAGAGCGTCGATGGGGGCGTCGATTAGGTCGTTCCAGCCATGGATGGCATTGGAGAGGAAGAAGCTACCGATAGTCAATAAGACGCCGGCTCGCAGGATCTCGCCGGGTGGTGGCGACGGCCGCAGGATGAAGGCGTGGAACAGGCCAAAAAGATGGGGAAACAGCACGAGACACACGCCAGCCGGAGGGCTCAGCCGGGTCAGCTGAACATAGGGGATCCACGAGGCCGGCAGAGCGCTGACCCATTTGCCGGTGTGAAGACCACCATATTGCTGAGCGAGCTCTCCTTTCCGAACATGATCGGACATAGGAACAGTCGCAGGTTTTGTCGTTGTTGTTCGAGTGCGGTTCATGATGCGTACAAGAGGTTGGCAAACCGGTGCTTCGAGGGCAAACACCTATAGACTACTGAAATTCAACGGTACCGACGACCTGGAAGTCGGGAACACTGCAAAAGAGCTGCTATCTCTCGGTATATAGTTGACTACATGCATGCAGAGTGCAGACTCCGATGGGCGCCACCGGCCCAGTAACCGCAGGCGAGTGACCGTTACGATGGTCTTGCGAGGCTCCCAGTCTGGACCTCGACGCCATCATGAATAGACTCTGTGACTCGTAGGATAGATGCAGTTGGTCTTCCGACATGACAGGGACCTTTTCCCTGTCCTCGCATTCGACTGGTCAAGGGTGAGCCTCAAATTCCTTCCAACTTCCTTGGCACCAACCAGTGCATATGCTCATCAATTTCACCATCACGCACAACGCCACGGGAAGCGCCGTGGCAACCCCCCTCGGGAAGTGGAACAGCCTCGCCACGCTGCTGTACGATGTACCATGCGGCTCGCTTACATTGCAGAATCACGCCTCACTGGGCTCACTTGCAGATCTGCTGACCCATCTGCAGCATTCCGCACCGTGCACAATACCATCAAGGCACAGCCGCACAAGTCATGGCCACGCAGCCCACAGCGTTACTTGGCACGCCTCCTTCAGCTCAATCAACTCTAGTGTCTTTCGGACACTCCATGAGACCAACAGATGCCACCCCCACACCTCACGTTGCATTCACAATGCGTACTGTACTGCACTCTATGGTACCTCGAGTTGGTTGAAGCGACGAAAGTTGCCAGATTCGGACACGATTCGGAACGAAGCAACCGCATTTTGGGTCTGGCTCATGCGTGGGCGGGCTGCAGCCATCACCAACTTGCTGCCAAGGTTTCCAACACAGACGATGTTTGCATTAGACTCAAGTGCTGGGCCTGAAGTTTGGAGTGATAGCGGAGCCTCGTCGACGCCGGGGGACAGCATTGATATCCGGCATGCAATCGAGAAAGAGAAGAATTCTCGGGGCTTTCCTTGGTCACACGGTGCTCGTCCCAGTCAATTCGATTCATGAATTGCTTCTGATTATCCTGACAAACAAGCCGTGATCTGACTCTGAAATTGATTGCTCAAGTGCCTACTTTCACCAGAGAGCGATTAATCATGTCTTCAGACTCGAGCCATGACTTAGTATTGCGTGTGTGAGTCGCCCTCTTCAATGACTCCAAGCCCTTCATGACCGGGAGGACTTCAGGAGCCTTCTGGTGGTCGTTGTTCTCAATGCTTGGAGGCTTGGAGCGGATAATGTTATCCGTGATTGGATTGAATAAATTATGCTCACTCAACACGTTTGGGCATGCCAGCTTCGACGGGGCCATCACAGTCCACCGAGTTCGCGACTCGACTCGGGCCTTCTACTATGATGTATCCTTCGACCTGACACACCCGAATTTGATAAAGTTCGCATCATTAGAGAAGCCGCCGATGCACTTTCACCCATACCAGGAAGAATATATCAAGGTGCTGTCGGGCACGCTCGGTGTCGAGATCGAGAGGCGTGAATACAAGCTGCGGTCCCAGGACGGCGAGCTACGAGTTCCACCTTGGGCGAATCACCGTCTGTATCCCCTCCTCAATACAACTGATGATAGCGGGCGCCAGGACAGGACGACGCGGTTCCTCCTGTCGGCGGAGAAGTCAGATGTGGCTTTCCAGCTGGACGATACATTCTTCCAGAATTGGTACGGGTGTCAGGATGAGGTCGTAACGAGTAGGGGGAAGTTCGACATCATTCAGATCATGAACGTGAGTCTCTAGATCAATCCACGTCCTCGCCTGGCCTCCTGAAGTCACACACAAAGATGGACAGCCCCACCGCCTCTAACCAACAACCCCAGAAAGAAATGGGCGGCTACAAGACATGTTGTGACCAAACTGAGAGATTGATTACCCAGATGTTCGATGCCGGCGGTTCCTACATGTCATTTCCTACCTGGATCCCATTCAGCAGACGAGTGGCACAGCTCGCTGGGATTGTGGTCGGCAGATGGCTCGGGGGCCTGCTTGGCTACCAACCCTTCCACCGCAAGTGGACTGCGAATTGGCCACTGGCAGCTGAGAAGATGGCGACATCTTTTTTCCTGAGGCGTTTCGCGAGCCAGGTGAAAACGGATTGAAAACTGCTGCACTGGCTTTACTGGTAATTATGCGCTGAAATCAATTTACTTCGCGCGAGATGCCAGTACCTCCATGGGAAGATGGCCTTTTATGTGCTCCTTTCCTGCCAGACAAGCTGGCACGCAGTTCTGGAATTGGAATAGTCGTATCTAGGCAAACCGAATTGAACCTTGACTGCAAAACGAAGGAGGAGGGGGCCAGCTGCCCATTGCCTACTTGGGTAGCTACCTAGGTAGGTACTCGACACCCACGTGACAGTTCAACATGTCTATCCCCATAGATTCAGACCGCTTTCCATTCACCACTCGAGTAATCAGGGGTCCGAGTGGCCACCTCCTAAGCGTTGATACTCCTTTCCTCAAATATTGCCCTACCCCACCAAGTGTTCAATGTTGCCTCCTGCTTGCCTCCCCAGAGTACGATCGAGCGATGTCAGAGTTGAAGTTTCGTGTCCTCCTGAGTGATCGACGCCCACCTCAGGGTCTGCGACCAGAGAGCAGACTGTTTCTGCTTGTCCTGGCTGTCCGGAGAGCTCTTATCTTTTTGCAAGAGCGTGTAGAACCCTCGCTGGCCGGCGTACTTGTCGCTCAAAGCCAGCTCAGCTAGTAGGACCCATAGAGAGCTTGAGGACTGGGAGCAAGGGCTTGTAGACGAAGGTTTGCATGAGTGACATGCTCCTTGGCGTATTGCTGCGCAATGCACGGGAGTCGACCAGGTTGCCTGGATTGATTGCCACGGCGGTGATGTTCTTGAGGATGGGGTCCTGGGTAGAGCGCGTGAGTAATGACATCCCGATGACATCCCGTTCTGGTGACAGGCTCTCATAAGAAGAGAGGAGAGGTGCACCGAATTATCGGTGGTGACTTACCTTCTGGAGATGCTCGTTCAGCGCATACATCCACGTAGTGATGGCGAGCTTGGCAGTTGCATATCTCTGGTAGCCGCGTCCCATCTTGTCGTCGTCCACAGAAGGCTTCACGAGCAGCTCCAAATCGCTGGGAATGGAGGGAGGATACTTCTCCATGGCGTTCTTGCCGGGCCAGTGTGAGTCGCTCGAGAGGAGCACCACCCGGCCGGTGGGCCCAAAGCTGCCAAGAAGGCGGAGGACGAGGGCCGCGTGGGAGATGTGGCTGACCTGGAAGGTCTTGTCGTAGCCGTCGGCGGTGGGCTCGGGGTCGCCGACGAGGTTCCAGTAGTAGGCGACGCAGACGATGGCGGTGAGTGGCGGGTATTGGCCGCTCTTGATGCCGGATATGACGGTGTCCGCGAAGGCGTGGGTGGAGGACAGGCTGGCGAGGTCGAGGGCATGAACAGAAGCCTTTGCTTGCGGGTAGCGGGCGATGGTCTCACGGAGCTTTCTGGTGTTTGGGTCAGAGGTCGAGTCATCCCTCACAGTGAAAATGGCCGTGTGTTGCGGGTAGAGGCGGAGGATGTGTTCTGCAGCAGGAATTCCCAGCGAGCTGTTGGCCCCAGTGAAGATGATCGTTCCAGCCATTGCAGCAGAGTTCAACTGATGTTCTGTGTAGAACCCAAGGATCCCGCCGGCCTGGAGATGAAAGTATGGTTGCTGGAGTGTTGTGTTATGACATCAAGCTACGATGGCGTATCTAGGCAGGCGCCAGGATTGCAAGCTGGTCTTCATAAGAATGAACGTCGGGAAGCTGGGTGACGGAGGTCCAACTTGGAAGCTGGGGATGAGCTCCCTTGTCCGCGGCATGCTGCGTCAAAGCGGGATGAGCTCGTGAAACCATGCTGCCTTGAAAGACTTATGCCACCAACACCAAATGCATCACCAACCAACTACATGACCAACGACCAACAGAAGGCAGATCAGGCAGGTGTAAAGTTGGATGCCCTGTCTGCCTGTGGAGCGGGTCAGCTTACTGCCTTGGATCAGCCTTCCGACGAGACGGCCCCCACGGTGCAGATCGGCATCGCGGGGCAACAGTGATGCGCCAAGGCAATATACCTAGGTCATGTTTCTCAGCTGGGCTGGCTTGGAAATTGTCGTGTAACACTCACAGGCGCAATACAACAGCCTGCATAAATAATGCGTTCCCGGCTCTGCGCAGTGCTCTACAAACCCTCTCGATGTTTGTAACATGTCGCCCATTGCGACATAAATGTGCTCTGCCGTCGCACAACAACAACTTGGCTTAAGAATTGCGCCTTCCGTTCGGTCCGGTGCCACCCTACCTAAGTACCTAGGTATTTACTACCTAGGTATCTTTCATTACGGCCAGTTCTTCCGGCCTTCATTACCCGGGAACCAACTAAAGCCATGAACCACTGCAATCAATGAATATATAAGGCACCACTTATGTCAGCCGACCGAGGACGTAGAAACGACAAATTTCACGACCAATAGAGCCGCGAGTGAATTGTTAACTACATGTACTTAAGATTGCACGCAAAACCAATATAGAGTCCGATTCTCTGTTAGTCATCATCTAGATGGAATGCGCTGCGACGTCGTCACTTAAGCAGTAACATGTACTTCATCCACGTAACCATTATCCGAGTGGCATTACCGAACCTTGCCAGGTATATCTACATCGCGAATGTTGTAAGCGGCTCTCGATGATCACAGCCGAAAAGAGTATTCTCTATACGACCCAAGAGCCGAATATGGATGTGATCACAAAGACCAACAAATCCTACTATATCATTGGGGTCTGCGCAAAATGTTGGCCCCCACAAGAAAGCTGGACAATCAGCCTCGCCATGAATTGTTGTCCTGAATCTATTTCGGTCAATTGACCTGCTAAGGGCTAGTCTCATTTTTCAGTCGTACTGTGTACCATGTTCACGATTTGCGTCTCATACAAGACAACAGTGCTATTTTGATTTCGTTACTCTCAACTAGAAGGGTCGTCATCAAGTCTCCTCTCTTGCCAGGAACAATAGCTAGAGTGGTCCGCTTTCGACGAACAGAGTTCACCGGGCGACTCACTGACACGCGCAAGTATCATTGCGGAAGCAGAAAATGGCACACTTCCTTACGTGGACCGTGCTGGCCGTTTGGTCTTGTTTTATCTATCATACCACAGCAGTATCTTTTGATGCCACCGACCGCCTATGCAAGGACCTCAATAATGCACTGAACAGCGTGATTTTCTTGCAGGATGAGCCCGAGTATCCTGAATTGAGAACGGAGAATTGGTAAAGTTTTGTCTCACCTCAATATCTCTCTGGCCACCTATGTAGTCTTTCACGACCTGCCACTTGGTACAGACTCAACTGACACTGTCAGGTCGGAAACTGCCTGGAGATTGCCGGCATGTATATTTGTTCCCGCCGATACAGAACAACTTCAGATGATCGTGACGCGTCTCGTTGAGACCGGCACCAAGTTTGCCATCCGCTCTGGAGGACACTCACCTGCGCCACAAGCAGCGAACATTGACGGTGGCGTCCTGATAGACCTGTCTGGCTTCAACGAGGTCAAATACGAACAGTCCGAACAGGTCGCTACGATAGGGTCCGGGCTAACTTGGGGTGAAGTATACTCCAAGCTGGATCCCTTCAGCGTCACGGTGGTAGGTGGCAGAGTAGGCGACGTGGGTGTTGGAGGACTGACGACAGGAGGTATGCCACTTCTCGTTCGAAGACAACTGGTGGAGGGTTTGACTGACAAGATTTCGAAAGGCGGTCTTTCCTACCTTTCTGATCTATACGGGTTGGTGTGTGACAATGTCCTGAATTTCGAGGTATGAAAACACATAACACTCAGTCTCTTCTCTCATAGCTTTCCACTCTAATATGGTCAAAGGTCGTTCTGGCTGATGGATCGATCGTGAACGCGAACGGCACCCAAAATTCCGATCTATTCTGGGCTTTGAAAGGCGGCACCAATAATTTTTGTATGTTTACTGTCCACAGATCGCCGCTACATCCCGGGTACTGAATATATTCTGCAAGGTATTGTGACGTCGTTCACTCTGACGACGTACCCAATTGGCCAAGTATGGGCTGGAGTGAAGGCGTATACGATAGACAGTTTGCCTGCCCTTTTTGATGCAATGTTCGAATATCAGACTGCTCCCAACAAGGATCCTTACGCCAACCTCATGCTGCAAGGTTACGTGAGCAACGTTACCGTGGGCGTGGTGTTGAATCTGGTTTACCTGAAGCCTGAGGAGTCACCAGACGCATTTTCTCCTTTTTACCCGATCAATACCACAGCAGACTCAATCAAGATATCGAGCTTCAGCGAGTTCATCTCAGGGCAGGGCCCCTCGGGTTTCCCACCGTAAGCCGTTTCAATCACCCAAAAGTGCTGGCCGAAGCTGATAGAGAGTGAACAGGAGAGTCGACTGGCGTACTACGGCTTTTGAGCCAAGTAAAGCTCATTACGAGTCGTTGACGAGTCTGATGATGAACTCTACTGGTCTGGCACAAATCAAGTCCGTGACTGCTGGAACTGCGGCATTCGGCCTACAGCCCATCTCATCGAGGCGCGTTGAGGAAGGCCACAGTCGTGGAGGTAATGCACTCGGACTCCTGCCTCTAAATCAGACGTGGTTCGTGATAGACTCTGGCGGATGGTTTCCAGAGGACGACGCACTTGTGCACAGCGCAACTCGGGACATGGTCCAAGCAATCGAAGACAATTCCAAGAGCGAGGGCGTTTATCTGCCATACCTATTCATGAACGATGCCAGCTGGGGTCAAGACGTCATCTTGCACTATGGGGCAGACAGCGTCGCTAGGCTGAAAGACATCCAGGCAAAGTACGATCCTAATCGTGTATTTCAGAACTTGGTGCCGGGAGGGTTCAAACTGCCACAGTATGCTTTTTGTCATCTGAGGTATCAGCACAGGGATATCAGACACTACTGTTTATTCAACTATTTAATCACAGGCGAGCGGTGAATTCACTTGTGTTCATGTTTTGTGAGAACTGCATTATTTGAGAGAAATAAAACCACTTAGATGTTCCTCGTATCTTGTGTGACAACGTCGTAGAAAGTACCTGGGTACCAGTTGGTGAACGTTGTGGTGGACTTCCGCAAAAGACGACACAGGGCACTGCCGTACTGGGTACTTCCAGGAAATGCAAGGCCTTGCCAACTTTAGAAGGTGCCTGTGGCAGTATCCTCTCTATTTTTGGTGAGACCACAGGCGCCGAGCCAGCGTCTAAATTTTTCATCAGAATGGCGCAGGTGGAAATGGAGACGGGGTCCAGGGGACTTTCGGGGTACATGTTCGTACCACCTACTGGATCCGGGATTTTGCTGATTGGACTGCCTGACTGGGCCCTTGTAACCAACACAATTTCGACAGATGTACTGCAACATTGGGGGCCGGAGCTGATTCGAACGCGCCGGCCCAGACAGACATGTGAAGAGGCTGACAACGAACACTTGATGTAGGTTGGTTTAAACCAGTCACACGACATGCATGCACTCGATCGGCTAACTGTTCGGCTGGTTGGCATTGTGATCCTTCCGAGCAGATCAGGCCTCTCTGGGGAAACGACCATTTAAAGAGGTGGGTTGATCAACCCGTTGAATCAATCACCTTACACTCCGGCAATCGAAGAATGCCCTCCTTGCTGATTTTGTCTTCCTCCTTCCTCTCTTTTAAGTTGATCAATAGTCTCGCCACTTCCACTTCCTCTGGTCTCAAAGGTAGTCTCGTCCGAACGCGGCACGCCTGTTTTTGAATCATGGCAGGCCAACAGATTCCGGAGGACATGCCGGTCATCCCTCCACCGAATGGAACAACATCCAACTTTGACGATCCACCATCCTTGTACGAGGCGACCTTGGGCGTTGGTATTACCTCCATGGTCATCATGACAGTCGCAGTCGGTATACGGACCTACACCAAAGCCGTCATTCTGAAAGATATGAAGCATGAGGATTGTAAGTTGCAGCTCAGCCTTGATTAAAAATCATACGTTGACTCTTTGAAAGATGTAGCTTTGTGTGCTCTGGTGAGACTACTGCTGTGTATCCGCGGGATATGCTACTGACTTTCTCTTCAGACTGGATTTCTAGTCTGGAGTGTCATCTACATATACGTCGCGTCTCTTGGCCTGACTCGTGACTTGTGGAATATACGAGCAGTCGATTTCTCTTACATGCTATACGTATGAACTCCTATCAATCGAACAGCGGCCCCGTGAGTGCCCAGCTTTGTGCTAATCGACCTTAGTTGTGCAATGTGTTCCAAGTCATTTACCCGCCAGCGATGGGTGCCGCGAAGTATTCATATGTGTCCAGCTCAAGAGGATATTTTGTCCCCATGGCTCCTCCAAGGGCAAAGTCTGGTGGGCTCTGCAGATTCTCATAGCTGCAACTGTTGGGTACTACATCTCTTGCTTTTTCACATTTTTATTTCAATGCGTTCCTCGCGAGAAGATCTGGCACCCAACGGTGGAGGGTAAGTGTATTGATAACAAGGGCGGTGTATTGTCGGCAGGCCTAATCAACCTAATCCTTGACCTTGGGCTCCTACTTGTCCCTTGCTGGGCGATCTGGCACCTGCAGATGCCTTTGAAGCGCAGGCTAGGGGCTTTATCTATATTTTCTGTGGGCGTTTTGTAAGTTAAATACTCAGTCACCCGAATGAATTCCCTTCCGAGGGAGAGAGGCTAACCGAAGACTAGCACATGTGTGATTGCGGCGCTCGGAGTCGCCTACCGAATACCCATGCTGACCGAGGTCAACCAAACCAACGCTATAGCAAAGGTTGGCCTCTGGTCGTAAGTTTCTGATGTCTGTACAAGACGCGAGAGCCGTATTGACGCTGCTCACAGATTTGCAGAGCTCGTTGGAACCATGGTCGTGGGGTGCATGCCCATGTTTCCCCGATTTTACGAGCATTTGAGCTCGCTACAAGGGCCGTTCTCTTCTCTCTCATCCTTGAAGTCGTTCCTTTCGTCAAGAAAACGCAGCAGCAGAGACACTTCAAAATTTTCACGGGTCTCGCAGCCGGGCGATTCCACTCATCAGATTGTTGTGACGTCTGACTCCACGCGAGAGGACATACACTGGGACCCGAATCATATAGAGTTGAGGGATGGCCAATATGTGTATCCAAAATGGGGCGCTGAAAATGTTGTATAATTCTGTGATTCACGGCAGTCTGTTTTTTCTGTTGACCTAAGCTACGTATGTATTCGCGGATATGGATGAATTGCCTGTTACTTCGGTGATATTCAAGGTAATTAATTTGGCCCTGGTTCTCTCAAAACATGTATTGCAGAGATTTGAACCCAAAAATGTCTTGTCGACTTAGGGGCTCGTCTTCAAAATTCAATTATACGTTTTTCGATGGAGGATTCAAGCATTCGCATCTTACACTTCTAGGAGGACAATCGACCATGCCTGCTACCCGGGCAGCGCGGCCTGCCAACATTGGAATTCGGGAGAGAACACTTGAGACTCCAAAGTGACATCCGAAGAGGACAAGGAACCGAGACCTAGCTAGATGTCCAACAATTCGTTGGTAGCCTGGTGGGGGGAAAAACACCGATGGAGCCAGCAAAGAAAAGGCTCATGTCCACCTCAAGTACACCTCTTGTACTGCACAGTTCATGTAGATTTTCGCCTACTGTGTAGCAGTGCATCATCTGTTGGGCCTGGCTTGCATGTTGCACATGCGAATGAGTTTTGCCTATCATGCAACTCGTCTCGGCCAAGACCGCATTTAGGCAAGTCTTCGGAGGTCCAGCTGATCGCCTGATCGAAACCTAAGGTTGTGTTCCATCAGGCGAGTAATAATTCTGACTGGTAAATCCTTTCTTTCCACGGAAATATAGAGACTACAGTCCGACTACCATCGATTGAAGTAGTGAACAGTTGACAAACAAGTTCTTTTACCTCACCACGAACTTTAGAGGCCTTGGGAACATACGGGCAACGTCCAATCCAGTGGATTCCAGGCGTTTTGGGCCACCTGTTGCACTGTCTCCCCTTCTTCACTGAACAATGGATATACCCACGTGTGATTTTCGATACTGGTGTGGTCTCAGCATTGCTGTTGCTGTGTCTTATTTTGCCACTGTCGCTTTCTGGGACCACTACTTTTCTCCTCTGGCTCGGATCCCCGGACCATTTTGGGCGTCTATTACACGTCTGTGGCACGCCTACCACATTTTCGAGGGCGACCATAATACGGAGATTATACGACTTCACGAACAGCATGGCCATTTTGTTAGGATCGCGCCAGATGAGGTCAGCGTAAGCCACCCGGCTGGTCCAAAGCTGCTCCTCCAGTCACATTTACGCAAGGTATGTACAATTTCGTGCTGTCCTAGAGTCAAGGGTGCTATAAGACATGACGGCCTTCAAGATCAAACCAGTGTTAATATTGAACCCACTACTCTAAAGTGGGTGATTCCAATGCTTCGACATTTCTTCCTTGGAGCCGACCGCTTTCTCATCCTTGCCAGCATCGTTTGACTCCGATTACTAAACAAGTACAAGGGAAATTGGTACCGAGCATTTGCCATACCAGACTACCGCTATGTGACTCCACAATCGACTCTGGACCCAAAGGAGAAGATGGAGCGATCCAAATTGTTTGCTCCCGGCTTCACCTTATCGCACCTCCTTCGGTCCGAGGCACATTACGACAGGAATATAAGCTACCTGTTCGACTGGATGGATAAGTACGCTGAGAGTCATGAGCCGATGCACCTTGACAAGTCTTTTTCGTAGACCACCTTCGATAATGCAGGCGAGGCCATTTTCTCACGTCGATGGAGGCACTACATCAAAGAAAAGCAGACCCCGATGCCCGTTTTGATATTGTCGCTCATTGGTTGAAGACTCATCAGGAGCGCCCTGATCTCCTTAGCTACCGTGATGTCGAGGCACAGACGGCAACAAGTGTCGCTGCTGGGTCAGATACTCTGTCTTGTAGGTCCCCCTCCAAATTCTTCGAATCATCTCACTTGATAGCTGAAAACTGATTCCTTTAGGTGCCCTCCAATCGTTTGTTTACTTCATGATCAGACATCAGGACATCTGGGAGCGCGCAAAGGATGAAATAAAGGCGGCGATGGCGGAGGGCCGCTGTCAGGATCGGGTCGTGACCTATGATGATTCGCGCAAGCTGACTTTCCTCGAGGCGTGTGTCTACGAATCCGTGCGATTGTTTGGACCTGGCCCATTCCAGCTGTCCAGAGTGGCGCCGAAAGACGGCCTGACTATCGGCACCCACCACTTCCCGGCAGGTACCATCTTATCTATCAACCCACAGTAAGAAGACGCCAAATGGCTCCCTTGCCTTTCCCCTCCCCGCTTTCAAACTTGATTTCGGAGTGTCTTGAAGCTGACTGACTGACTCTGGCGTTAGAGTCATGCAGCAGAGCAAGGATTGTTGGGGTGCCGACTCAAAGGAGTTCAAACCTGAAAGGTGGTTACCGGATGGGATTCATACCATGTATCATTACTGGCTCTTGGTATGTCTATTGTGTATCAAGCTAAACTGGCCTGTCTTCGCTAACTGTGCACAGTTCGGATTAGGCTACAACAGATGCCCAGGTGAGCACTTGGCTGAAATACAAATTTTCAAGACTGCCGCCACAATTGTCCGTGATTATAAAATATCTCAAGTGGACCCAGATAAAGAGTGGGAATGGAAGGCTTACTTCACAGTTGTTCCCCATTCCTGGCCGGTATATGTAGAAAGAGGATAGGCTCTGGGTTGGACTCGGTTGTGTACTTGAATGCCGGCACTGGTGGGCTTTGATGGGGCTGTCGAACTCCAAACCTTCTAGTAGAAAAGAAATTTGCACCACGAAGACAGCAATTGTGGTTGATTTTACCCCAAATAACATGAATTTCGAGCCTTTGGCCCTTTCAATTTCCTTTTCCCTGGCATGATTTTACAAATACCTCATTAGTTCGACGTATAAGCCTTCTTGCGGACAACTTCCTGAGCACAAACGAATTCAGCGGAGATTGTATACACCGACTGCCTCGGCGCTACTAAATCAAGGGCTCCTTTTTGCTGTAATGTTTGAGGTCTGGTGAGAATCTCGCTGGCTGGAAATCAATGCAACGTACCTAGGTACCCTGGGTAGGCAGGGCCTACAATGTACGTCACAGTACGTGCTGTGATGCTATGATCGTGCAGAGGAAAAGTTTAAAGCGACTTTAGGCCCCTTGCAATAGAGCATAAAGCTTTACTTCACAATGCTGGAGACCACTCTAATTTCAATAGAATCACGGTATGCACTGCGCATCGGAGCATTTAGAAGGTACCCAGGGAAGAAAAATGAGGCACAATACTTATGTATTGCAGCTTCCTAACCAAATGCAGGTAAGGCCACATCAACTAATCCCGGCGTCCGCCGTGATCAGACTAAGGACCTACAGGTCCATTTTTGTTTTCAAACCCCACAGTCTTCTTTCACCTGATGGCTAGATACACACATGGGCGTTAACAGTGCCGACGTCGACAAATTGTAATCAGTCGACCAGACACATATACCCGCCCACCTCTCGAACTAATTGCGGCGCCTACCTAGGTAGTCGACCCCGACTTTGCTGCCTGCGCGTCTCAAGTGGGTTAGTCAGCAATGCCCCGTTCATCCGGCCACGCTTCACCCACGCTCAGTGATGTTCAGCGTGTAAATCACCTCAGCCACCGCTCCGACTCCAACACGCTCCAAAGCCATCTCGTTTTTCATTCGGAATCGATCAAATTTACGCGGGTGCTACCACACGCCATGGGCCAGGATGTGGTCACCGCCTCCAGAATACTGGAGGTGGGTAAGAGGCCTGGTTCCTGGCGGCCTCTGGCCCAACAATATCGGTAGGTTGCCCATCGCCTGGCTGCCAGGGTCTCGCATTGGCCGGCTTAATTTGCCAATACTTGATGCAGGTGCTGATTAGACGGGGCCACACCTCGGTCAGCCATTGAGAATACCTCATTGGCGAGTTAATTGTCCCTTGTGCTTCCTTACATTCACACCGGTATGTAGTTAGTGATACTCGCTAAGGTTAGGCAACACCTAGTCAAAGAATCCTGCCTCCCACTCCGCTAATGATATACGTTAGAGAAAATACGATTTAGACCCACTCCTGTCCCTCTAAATTCAGACTTTGCGCTTTCCGTACGCAATCTTTCTGACCGTGTACTAAGGGACACCTATTCTTTGCAATCATCTTACTCCGAAATATTATTTGGAACACAAAGCTCGGGTACTATGGCTCTTCCCGTCGAGATAACTAGCAAAGTGGGTGTATTGATAACACCTCCTAGTATGACAGTCTCTCACAGAAAAATATCCTCTGGAACAAACTCCCATTGAATGACCTCCGAATGCACTTCTTCGGAATAACCTCATCTAGGTTAGCCCCTATAGTGTAATCTTTTATGTACTGCCCTAAAGTCTCCTATCGGCCAATCTCCTGCGCCGGTAGGATGAGTGAATGAAAGATCCTAAACAAGCTACACGGGACCTTCCATAGTGTATCGCACTTCAAAACCATGAAAAGATCACTTCAACAACGTATGTGGTACGATAAGTCTATTGATATGGAACACTGGCAAAGTGGGCTGCGCATTTCCACAATCACATCCTTACGCATTTTGTGACTGACACTTAAATGTGTGATAGTCAAGCCATCTGACTTATGCCTTCTCTTTGCAATCACGCAGATGACAAAATCTAAATCCCATGCCACGCATAAGTGGTCGAGCCAAGTTCCTTAAAATTATCTCTGCCATTGGGAACAAGACACATCAACCAGAAGCACGTTGGACAGCTCATTGTAGTCGTGGTGGACTTTCCCAGAAGGTCTAAGAGTGTAGAAGAGGTCAGGAATATACAATATGTCAGCCTTTGCCTGTAGAATCTCCAGTCATCGTTAGCAAAAGAGCCCCTGAAACGCCACTCTCGATGATGCTGTCACAGGTCAAGTAGTTTATAGTATTGGGCATCTAGAATCACCCGCAGATGTTCCAGGAATTTGCAGAGACGTCAACAAGTAGCTTAATCCGAGCAAACACAATGATGTAGATGTATATACACGGTGTCCGGGACTGCATCAAGACCACCACGATCGAGCGCAACGGGCAGCGGACGTGATCGTCTCCTAAGTCTGACCCGATACAAGATTCTATTTTCTCCATAATCTCTCGGCTGGCCTCGCTTCAGCATTTGAGCATAGGCGGAGAGTGTCTGCTGGCACAGTATATAGATTTGATGCACAACCGTGCTGCTGATTACCATAGCCGTCCGGCCGACAGATTAGCAACAGATCTGTTACACTCTCTAGTGATCTACGATAAGTTTCCATGACATCGAATGCCTAGCCGGGGTCACTTTCATCTCGCTCAGCCTTCAATTCCATACAATTCACATCCCTCCCAGCGGGCCACAGTGGCCGCCTATCATCGGAGTGCCCTCCATAGACAGCTTTAGAGTAGCCACCAGCATGGAGTGATCCACACACCCTGGGGCATTCAGTATCCTACCGGTAAATCTCTAGCCCACAGGTGAAGGCTGGTACTAGCTCAGATGCTCTATCAACACTTTCCGTCCGCTGTACGGGCAGAATGTCTAGACAGGGCCGGAAGTGGTCCTCATGTAACAGGATGTCCCAATTAAAGCCCTCAGACTAGCTGATCAGTGACCGACTAACTAAGGGGCTGACTGTTTGCCCGTGGGATATAAAATGTCTTTTAAGATTCCAAACAATCAGACACCACTCCTGATTTCTTTAACTCAACTTCAAGGCTCAACTCAACTCAATCCTCAACAAGTCAGATCCAGTCAATCCAGTACAAGCATTTATCTATATTACCTCTTGTTCCTATAGCACTCCCTTCTATCATCATCCAGAATGCGTCGAGATAAGAAGCAGGAGGCTACCTACCGATCCGCAGACAGTACTGCCTTCAATACCGACCTCTTCTCCGACTATATCGTCCACTACAGCACCAAGTCCTGGATTCTATACCGGATCATCCTCTCCTCCAGGAGCGAGTGGTTCCACAAGACCCTGACCGGGCTGTGCAAGGCAAGATACATGCTCCGAGTCCTATTCCCCTCTCATACCACTGACAAATAACCTTGCCTTTAAAGTTGGGTGGGTTGAATGCCCCTTTGCTGAGTTTAGTAGCGTCTGGCAGTATACTCTATATGAAGTGCTCTAGGCTAGAAGTCTCCAGGCAGGCTTGTGCGATATTGATGCCCTGCCTTTCCTCTGCTGCAGCAGTGGCGGCGTTATTTTCTAATTCTGCCTGTATCTCTAGTATATCTATGACGCTATATACTGTATATAGCCCGGCAAAAGTAATACGTAGTAATCCTGGGTTGTTGAGGTTGGCTTGGACGACTTTAACTCCTTTAGACGCCAGATCTAGGGTTGTGGTGCTATTGGTGTTACGAGTGAAGCCGCGAAGCTTGTAATCTGGGTTGCCTGCTATAAACTCGATGATGCCACGGCCTTGGGTGCTGGTAGCCCTAACAATGATAGCGATCTTCGCTGTCATGCTGGGTGATTGTTTCTCAGCAAATCATTTCAAGATAAGAATGTAAGTTGAATATCAGAATTTGGTCAGCTTTTCTCGAACGATAGGGATCTGTCTATCTATGACTATCCATTCGACGGGCATCGACTGCACTTTGAATACATTTTGAAGACATTGATTCGTGTCAATTCCTTAACGCGAATTCAGTACCCACGTGATCGTTCAGTCGAATCCCAAATCTCAAGCTCACACTGACAAGCACTAATCTATCACAGACATTGCATTTGTTTAGTAATCATCGTGGGAAATTATTGACCTCTGGCAGACACGCCGCGTCGTTTTGCCCGGATCTTTGCTGTAGGGCGGAATCGTACTGGGCTTGTGGAACATCCATCAAGTGTACATGCAGGTTGCTTACACATAGGGCGCGTCAAGTGTAGCCTTATGTTGAGTGGTAATTCAGACGAATAGCCTTGCTCCACTGGCTTTACTGGGCTGCGTTGACGGGCTCAGAGTTGCGGTCTGACAACACAGCGCGCGCATGTAATCATTCTCGATTACTATACTCATCGAAGACGTCTACTTGAGCACTCGACATTTGGAAACACAGAGCTGAAAACCTGGACAGCGTCTCTTTGGTCTGGAGATATAGTATTAAAGGCAACACTGGTTACTAACCAAAGCCCTCTTTGCCCGAGGCGCTTAGGCGCCGACCTTGATAGCATGAACGGTAAGGGCCCTCCTGTGCTTCGTGACGACTTCTTGAAGTTCTGTTCCGGAAATGTTATACCATATCTCCTTCCTCCCTTGCATGTTTGTGCTAGGGCCCGCAACAGCCGGGGCATGCGGTTGGATCGAGCCAAGGCTGCTCAGATTCACCTGCCGTCGTTGCTGTTCTGTGATATCCGGTCCCACAGTGGTGATTGGAAATGTAAGTCTGCACGCGTTTGACAGATATTAGTCACTTGATCAGATAACAATCAAGTAGGAGTACTGAGCACACAAATAACGAACCTTCATGGCGGACAATTTTCCAACAGCTCGACGTACTGAGTCTTTTGGCCACCGCATGTGAGTCTAGGCGATGTACGATGCCACACTTTACCTAGTGTCAGCGAGAGGCGCGATGATCCCGTCGGGAAGCTAGTGATCATGACTTACTTGTCCATTATCATCGTTTAGATCACGGTAGAACTCCAAAGATCCTCCAAATAAGAGTCTCTCCATGAATCTTCCGGATTCGCCGGCCCCTATACTCCGACCAGGGACAGCTGGCTGCCTATAGTTTAGGTGAGTAGTTTCCGGAGGCGTATATTTATCGGGCGTATTACTGGCCCCAGCAAGCAGAGCCAAGAATGCATGCATTAACTCATGCGCTGTGGCTGCGGCAAATACAAAGTGGAAATTGAGGTAGCGTTCTCTATGCTTTTTGTCCGTTCCTGCTGCCCCGCGGACCATGGCCGATACTCGCTGGGTTTTTATTCTTATTAAAGGTTTGATCTTAGCAGTATGGACTTATTGGGGATAACTCACAGAACTATTGAAGTAAATGCCCCCAGCGAACTTTGGTTGATAGTTGTTTATAACGCCATCAAAATTAGCGTCGGGACTAACTATGCGCTGATATTATGCAATGTTATCAGGGTTAGCTAGATCTTGGATCATAACTCAGGGAAAGTCCTGTCTGATTTTCTGGAGGAAAGTTTCCAAGTAGCCCTTCATATGGTTTGTTTAGCCCCAAAAAGTTATAGAGCCGTCCCTAGTCCATCCCGCAACTACGTCTCTGCCATCAGCTGCAAAGGCTTAACGTCCAGCGTCTAATTCAACAATCTTTATACCAGTATTAATGGCTGCCGAAAGCTAAGATCATTTGTTAGCATGTCCTAGTCTGGACAAGAAGACCCGGACTGAGTAACATGATCTTACAAGTGTAAACTTCTCGGTGTTGGGATCCAGAAGACTTCGACCTGTCTGGGCATCGACCAAAGTCATCGACATTGCCCGGATACCGTGGGCGCGGGTTCCTTCTGCAGCATGCTGGGCGACCATCTTGAGAGATCCCACGAGGCTTCTCGGTAATCAAGGTACAGTAATGGGTGAGAAGGTAATAGAAGATGTAATTAGGAGGGTAATGTGGTAATTCGCAGCCGGGAACGACAGATGATGATGAACACGATTCTCACGGGGAAGTTTTCAGACAAGAGTTGACTGTCGAGTCTGTTTCTGTGAAGATAAACGAGCTTAGTGTGACGTCTGCAACCGATCAATGTTATAGTCGCGGGGTCCAATGATTTTTCATAATCGGCAGCTCCCATCGTGCCTTCTGATTTGGGAACATGTCTCGGCGTCGGCGTCACATCACCAACTAGAGCATCGTTGTCTCCATCTTCCCAGCGCAGGAGCCTGCCATATGGCCTGCTTCTTGGCCGAGGCCCAAACACACCAATGCTGTTGGTTGGCAGTGCCGTACTTGTTCACCCGCCTTCATCCAATTAATTAGGAAATCAAAGTCTAATTATGGCTCTGTTACGTGATCTGGTCAATGTTGGTCCCTCGGTCAGGCGCCAATGCGGCGCTCGACCACCAGGATTAGGTTGCAGGATGGGACAGACAGTGGGTCTGGAACGCATGGAATATTTTGAACGCAATGGAATCTCTTAGGAGAAAGGCTGCTCCATAATGCTGGGCGTGGAGATCGGGCCGGGTAAACATGAGACCTCAATTATGCCGTGGATGGTGGAAAGCAGTACGTCCATATCGAATGTCTGCGATTGCTCGCTGCCCTCTAAGTCGATTGCATTTTCCATCAGTGGTCTACAGGTGTTCGCGGGGCTGCGTGTAAGAAATAAAAAGCGCTGCCAGTGTGCAGCTTAGAGAGTTTATATATTCTGACACTGCGGACAGGTCCCGGGGTGGTGGTGGTTGGGTCGGCCGCGGACGGTTGGTGGAACGGAAACTATTTCGAGGGTTTGTGGCTACTGTAGTTGTGCGCTGTCTGTCCCAAACGAAACGCAGCCCCCTCCCTGTTTCTTTGGTTAGCTATCCCCCCTTGCATCAAAAGTTTGCTATAAACGCGAAATACGCACTAATATTCTTAAGAATGACCTTTTCGCTATTATTATATATTTAATTTAGCAAAAAAAAGGTTATTAAGACCTTATTTTATATATATCTTTAGAATAATTAAAAGTAATATAATTAATTTAAGCTTATTATATAAGGAAGTATATGCTTTATTAGCTTTAGCCTAAGGTAATTATAGCGTACTTAAATTAATAGCAAACTTATTTTAATGGCCCTTAAAAAGCAAAAGCTTAGCTATTATAATTATATACTTATTTATAATATTAAGTTATTTACTTTATTAATAAGCATTATATTAATTAATTAATAGCGTTATTATACATAAAAAAGCTAATAATAAAAGCAAAGGCTACTATCGTTATAAAAAAAAAGCTAGCAACTTAATTAAAAACCTTTTAAAATAAATAAGTAGCTACTTAATATATTACTTAATATATTGCTAAAAATGCTAAAAAAGTTATTTTTAAAGCCGTCTTTAATAAAAATAATGCTTTAATTAACTTAAATAAAGCTAAGAGCAGTAATATTAATTAAGAAATATTAAGTATACTTAAATTATTATTATTAGTTAGTAATGCTAAAGGTAATAATATTAAAAAATTAAAAAGTTATTCCTTATTAAGAAAATTGCTTAAAAAAGTATTCCTTATATTATATATAAAAATTATTAATATATAGCCTATTTTTATATTATTAATAAAGTAATATAACTTTAAGTTTAATAATAATAAGTATAAGGCTTTTAATATTAATCTTTTATTAAGCAATTTTTTCTTAAAAATAAAGAATTAAGTTAAGGTTAAGCTTATTAATATAAGGAATATAATAATTAAGTTATTATAAGTTTTATTTAAGATAGGTTATTAATTATAAATAAGAATATTTTTAATTTAATTAAGTATAATAAAGAAATTAAAAAGTATTTAAAGGGAGAACTTTTTAATAATTAAATTATAAAAATGCTTTCTTTAAGCAAAGGTTTTTATTATTTTATAATTATATATATTTATAAGGTAATACTTTTAATAATATAAATAATGCTTTAAAGTATTGTAATATTAAGGCAATAATTAAGTATTAAGGTCTTTAGGCCTTTTTTATTAATAAGGTTAATGCTTAGCTTAATAAATAATTTATTAATAATTAAATATTTAGCAAATATTTCTTTAGTAAAAGAATTATTATTGCCTAAAGGCCCTTAAGAAGAGTTAATTACTGCTTATATAATAGCGATAAGGAATAGTAATTAATTACTTAGCTTTAAGGCTTATAAAAAGTTAATATAAATATAATAATGCTTTAAAGGTATTTATTATAAGGCTAATTATTATTATTATAATAAGGGGGACTTTTTATAATAATAATGCTATATTAAGAAGAATAATATGCATATAAATATTACTAATATTAATTTAATAATATAGGTATAAGCAATAGTTAATAGTAAGGCTGCTATTTAAGCGCCTTTAAAAAAGCTTTTTATTAAGTAAATAAATGTTGTTAAAGTTAATAAAAGTAATAAAAAATTTAGTAAAAATAATATTAACCTTATATATAAATAAAAAAAGCTTAAAAAGGATAATAAGTAAAGGGAGAGTAGCATTAATATAGTGATTAATTTATTAATTAATCTTTACACCCTTGGCTTTATATATAGGTACTTAGTAATGCCGTTATTGCTATTATTAGCATCTTTATTAATATACTTATTAGTAGGCTTTAAAGGGCTATTAATATTATTAATAATAAAAGCTTTTTGCTTAAGTAGCCTTATATGCTATTATTAATTACTTATATTTTCATTATTACTGCTATAAATACTTAGTAATTAAAAGGCTTTTAATAAAAACTTTATATTTAAGGCCTTATAAAAGCATTTTTATATATTAATAAAAAGAAGGTAATTAATAAAGCTATAAAAAGTAATAAAATATAAGGGCGTTAATTTCTAAGCTTTATACTTAAAGGAAGATATTTAATTTAATAAGAAGGGCTTAAATAATATTAAATTAGTTAAAAGGCTTATAAAGCTATACTTAAAAGAAAGGGAGGACTTTTTTAAGCTTTTTAAAAGCAATAATAAAGAGGAAAAACTGTTATTATTATTAGCGTTAATATAAGATAATAATTATAATTTTAAATAAGTAAAAAGCCCTTTAGCATTAGCTAATAATACATTAATAATAAAAAATAAGTTTAAGGCATTTTTTAATAAGTTTTAAGGGCTTAATTATTATTATTTATAAAAGAAAGGGTAATATAATTAATAAAAAGGTAATTAAAGTAATTATATATAAAAAAAAGGCTTTATTTAAGTAATTAAAGAATTAATTAAGAAAATTAAGTATATTTCCTATAATAAATTATTACTTATTCTTCTTAATTATTTAAATAATATTTTTTTTTATTAACTTACTTATTATTAAAAAACTTATTATAAATAACTTTATTATTATACTTTTTTCTTTTTATTAATATTGCTTTTTTTACCTTTATTTTAATTATATAACATTTTTATTAACTTTTATCATAATTACTATTAATGGGTACTGTATGTACGGAGAGTAAGGGTGATAGCAGTTGATTATTGTATGGGTAATTAATTTAGCTATGGTATAAAGGGTAGGTTGTAGCAAAGCTGCAGCCTTCCTTTATTTAGTTATAGGCTAGTTATGGTAATTTATGCATAAGGCATGTAACTACCAGCTAGCAGCCGGCTAACATTAGCTAATAGCTGCTATTAATAAAACTAGTTTAAATCTTGCACCTTTAAATCTATGCATTACCTGCAGCGCACTTACTACATAAGTACGCTATATATAATGCCTATATATATTATTCTTATATTGGTAGTTTTTTATATATATATATATAAATGCTTTAAAATCATGCTTTTCCTTTAAATTATTGCTTAGCTAATTAAATCGCTTAATTAACATAAATATCTTATCCTTTAAAGGGCTATAAAGGGCTAAGTGCTTTATGGCCATCGCTTTAATAGGTTAAGTGTAAGTATTTATGCAAGTATTTAAGTGTAAGTATGCTTAAATGCTTTAAGTGCTTAAATTGCTTAATTAAATTATTTAATTATTAATGCTTTAAAACTTTAAAGTATTTAAATACTATGCTTTAATTAATTAATTATTACTTTAGCAGCTTTTTTCTTATAATTAATATTAAACGCTACTTTTACAGTTATAATAGGCGCTACTTTTATATAATAAAAGGCATTACTTTTGCTTAATAGCAAGGCTACTTTTGCTTAGTAATAAGCATTACTTTTGCTTAATGGTAAGGCTACTTTTGCTTAATAATAGGCATTACTTTTATATAATAATAAGGCATTATTGCTGCTATTAAGGCTATTGCTATCTTCGTTATTATTAAGATAAATCTCATAATAATTAATTATAAGGCAAAGGGGAGGGAAAGAACGTTCTTATGCTACGTTTATAAATTAATAATTAGCTCTTAAATTATTTATTTACAAATAGTAGCGCTTAAATGCTATTACTACTTAGCAAACTAACCTTTATTAGCTTTGGGGCAATTTATGCTTAAGATCTTATTAAAGAGCGTTGGCAAGAAGGGCGTTAAGAAGAGAAAAGATTATGCTTATTAATTAAATATTAACTATTATTAAAAGGTAAATATTTTAAAGGTTTAATTAAGTTGTTTATATAGTTAAATTAATAATAAATATTAATTATTTCCTTTAATGGTTTTAAGCTAATTAAGCAAATAAGATAATTGCATTAATTACTTGCTTTTATTAATTAATACTTTAAAGTATTTAATTAAGCATATTAATTAAATATATAAATTGCTTAAAAGAAATATTATTTATTAATATTTTAAAGTATTTAAGCGCCTTATGCTTTATTAAGTGCTTAAGGAGTTTTTAAAGGGTTATAAGCCCTAAGGGTATTATATAGGTGCCTTAAGGGGCATTGATTGCAAATAAGGGCTTTTTAAAGGTATTAATTATAAGCAAGGGCTTTTTAAGGGTGCTAAGCAAGGGCTTTTTAAGAGTGCTAAGCAAGGGCTTCTTAAGGGTGCTAATTGCAAGTAAGGGCTTCTTAAGGGTGCTAAGCAAGGGCTTCTTAAGGGTGCCAAGCGAGGGCTTTTTAAGGGTGCTAAGCAAGGGCTTCTTAAGGGTGCTAAGTAAGGGCTTTTTAAGGGTGCTAAGCAAGGGCTTTTTAAGGGTGCTAAGTAAGGGCTTTTTAAGAATGCTAAGCAAGGGCTTTTTAAGAGTGCTAAGCGAGGGCTTTTTATGGCAGTTATAAGCAAGGGTGTTGATAATTAAGGGTGCCTTATGGAGGGCTTTTAAAGGTATCGTAAGGAGGGCTTTTTAATATATTAATTGCAAGCAAAGGCATTAATAATTAAGGGTATTATAAGGAAGGCTTCTTAGGCTTTTTAAGGCTATGCATTAATTATAAACGATCTTCTTTTACCGCGTATTTATAAATATTTATAAATGGCTTTATTAATTAACTTAAGGTTTTATAAATGCCTATAAATAGCTTAAGAAAAGGGTTTTTAGTAATATATAATTACGTTTACTTAAAAAGGTTGCAAGGAATTAAGGGTATATTAAGGAAAGCTTTTTAACTAAGGTTTATTATAATTATTATTATTATTAGCAATTTATATAATAAAATATGCCGTTTAATTAATAAATTTAAGGCATTATTAAAGACTTATTAATTAATAAGTTAAATCTTTATAATAAAAAGGTTAAGGCATTACTTATTCCTCTTTATTAATTTTAATTTTAGCATAGCTATTAGCACTTAATTAAGCAAATCCTTATTATTAATGATTGCTTGCCCTTATAATATTAATATTAATTATTTAGCATAAATATTATAACTTAATTAAGGTAGTTTTTATTATTAATAGTTGCCGCTTAATTAATTGTAATAAAGGTTTATTGCTTTATTTAATTATTTATTATAATTATCTTAATTAATAATTAATTAATATTAATGGGTACTGTATATATAAAGAGTAAGGGCAATAGTAGTTAATTATTATATAGGTAATTAATTTAGCTATGGTATAAAGGGTAGGTTATAGCGAAGCTATAGCCTTTCCTCGTTTAGCTATAGGCTAGCTATAATGGTTTATATGCAAGGCATGTAATTACTAGCTAGCAGCCAGTTAGTATTAGCTAGCAGCTATTATTAATAAGATTAGTTTAAATCTTGCACCTTTAAATTTATGCATTGCCTGCAGCGCACCCATTGCATGGGCACGCTGCACATAATGCCCATACATACTATTCTTATAATTACTATCCTTAAACCTTTTTTTTAATATATATATATAATGAAAATATCCCTTAATTACCTTTATATACTAATTAACCTTTTTAGCGCTTAAGTATAAAAACTTTATAAATTTATTATTATTATTATAGTTATTTATTTTATATTAATATTAATAATAAATATATTTCTTTAAATTCTTAAAATATATCTTAATTAAATTAAAATTAAGAAAATATAATAATAAATATATTAGCTTAATATTCTTTGCTTAAATGGCCTTATAAATAGCTTAATTATAATATTATAAAGTATTATTTATTATAAGGATTAATTAAGGGCTTAAATAAGTACTTATTTAAGGGAAGATCCTTTTAAAAAGCTATATTAAGAAAAACTTTTTTATTATATGCCCCTTATATACCTTAATATTAAAAAGATTGCTAATTATAATTATTAATAATATATAAAAGTAATCGCCTTACTTAAAAAGACTTTTAATTTAAAAAGTATATCGTAATAATATTTAGCTTATTCTTTTTATATTATTATGCTTATTAAGTCTTAATTTATTATAAAAAATAAACATTTTAACAATATATCATAGCTTTAAGATTTTAAAAAGGTAATAGCTTTAAAAATCCTTATTACACTATTAAGCTAATATATATATTTACTTATTAATTTAATTATACTTTTTAAAAGCCCTTAAAATAGTTTTTATTAAGTAATTAATTTAACATTTTTTAGTAAGAAAGTATTATATTTTATTAAAATATATATTTAGCTTATTAAGAAAAAGATTTTTAAGCTTTTATATAATAATAATTAAGCATTAATAATGCTTAAAGAGCTTATTATGTTAAAAAACATTATATACCTTTAAAGCTTATTATTTTAATTTAACGGCATTTAATAGCAATAATAAGGATATGCTTAATATTATAATATTTATTATCTTAATCCTCCTTTAATATTATTAAATTATTAATTTATTATAATTAAACTTAGCTTATAGCTACTTATTTAATAGCAATGGATTTAAGCATAAATAAAATTATAATATTTATAATTATATAAAGGTTAGCTGCATTATTACGGCCTTTTTTTTGCTAAATTAAGTGCATGGTAATGGCAAGGAAGTTATTCTTAGTAATCTTAATGCGTATTTCGCATTTATAGCAAACTTTTGGTATGGGGGGGGACAGCTGACTAAAGAGACAGGGGGGGGGCTGCGTTTCGTTTGGGACAGACAGCGGCTCAGCCGTGGCCCGAGGGCCGCAAGTGGCTGGCCAGGTCGTGGTGAGCCGCGCGCTTATTGCGCCTCAAGTGTTTGGAAAACAAGATGTCCGTGCGCGACGGCAGGGCACTCGGAATTCTCCAAGTGGGGTCCCCACTAATCTACGAACAGCACAGGGTCCACAGCAAATAAAGAGGCTCCACGCCGCAGGCGTGCCACAAGACGGTTCCCTACCCCACACCCAACACGCCCACCACGCTCGAGCTCTTGTCATCATCTGGACCTCGACCACTTCGTGCCAGGTGTGTATGCTGTCACGCAGATTCGAAGATAATGGGCGACCACTCAGGCGGAGCTGAAAATTCAACCTCGTCCAGCCTTGGGCTGTTGGACGCGGAGCACGTCGATGTGGTCCGTCATGCCTTGCAAAAGATGTTGGCTGCCGAGATTGTGGAAACCACATTTTCCGAAATAATAGATGGGCTTCCGACAAGGGCTTCCTGGCTGGAATTCGACCTCTGGAACGAGAAGCACCCTGTGAATTTGCTAAAACACGAAGCATTGTGTGACGGCGCGCGCGAGAAGGCCAGAAGGTTCCGCGATGAATTCGATATTTACATATTGACTTTCCCACCATCGGTATGTATTGCCTTGATAGCCGCTTTGCCAGTTTCATATGTTCTATGAGGTGCAATACATCTGCTCTCGCCTCTCCGCCACACTCGCGTGATGAAAATTCAAGCTAACATGCCAATTTTCACTAGATCTTACAGGACTTTCAAAAGGCAGGGCCGGAGACTAAAGAATACTTTTTAAGTCTCATTGAACTACTTGCTCAGTCATGCCACCAAATTGCCGCCCGACTGTTCCAGCTTGATGACGGGTTCCACAAACACAGTATCTACGAGGCATGGCGTGATGCACCAATAGACCCCCAATCCAATCCATGGCGCGTAGCCCCATTGCCTTCCGCGTTTTGTCATGGATCTTATGTCTTCCATGAGCAATACCCTCATGGTATCGCCGATGTGGTGGGATATTGGGCAGAGGCTAGAATATTTGGGGGTGTTGTGGTGTTCGATCGCGGACCTTCTGGTGCCGAGGTAAGTACAGTCGCTCCTCCAGTCCAGGCTCTCGGTCATCAAGCACCTGGGTCGCGAGACTTGCTCATTGGCTCACACGATTTTCTATCTGCTCTGTTAGCGAAGAGAAGTGTATCTACACGCGGGCCACCAGCAGTCCCCGTTAACACTATTTCCTCCCACGTCAGATCAGTTTAAATCCTTGGTGCAGTTTCTTCTTCAGCCCGGCTCTGGCCCGTGTCCCTTACCCATCGAAGCGTCCCGTCTCAATGGGTATCGTTACCACCCGGACGACGCTATCTCTCGTTTCAACATCTTTCGTGATCGATACGAGAGGAAGGAGCCACCGATCCGAAGTACGCACCACAGCTGGAATAATTCGAGGAATTGGCCTGAGATAGAGTATCTCTTTGAGTTCATTGCGCTCCAAGAAAAACGTGCTCAGGGAATAGAGATAGATGAGGCAGAACTGAATGCAGCCGAAGAGGGCATGCGGCGTATCACGCCGTCGTCGCCTGACTGGCAAGGTGCTGGCGTGATGGATCCTGAGGCGGACCCCAGAGACAGCTCAGAGTATTTTTAGTGTCGTAAAATCAACATGGGACGGTGAATGATAACCCTCTTGAAGCATGGTTATTCAGGTCTACTTTGATTCAAGTATACGAGGGCCTCCTGGCTGGACTTAAATTTGAACGTGAGGCCTTGTGGATTAACCTATCTCGGAAGACACTTAATTAGGGTTAAAACTCTGCCAGCTTATACCGCTAGCAGCCCTTGCAAAACATAATTCATTACTCTAAGTGTGTAGAGCCATTAAATGCTAATTGACTAACTATAAAAATATCACGATAACTATAGAATTAAGCAAATGAGTGTAAGCCAAATGTCCTCACTTTGTGTAGTGAGGGTATGCCCAAAGGTGGGTCTGCCCGAAGCTGGGTGGGACACGGCACCCAAACCTACGCAGAAATTCATGGATATCGCAGAGAGCGTCGAGGCTGAAACCTTACAGCAGCCAAAGAAAAAGACAGAGTTGGTAAAAAGAAGTCTGCAGTAGTAGTTGTTGAATGTGAAGTTGATGAGGCTGTGGAGTCTGATCACGACGGTTTAGACATTTCGGAGCAATCTCCGGCCAGATCACAAACTCGCCGCGGACGTGGAATTCAGCGTCTAGCTAAATATGATATGTCGATCTCCAAGGGCTTCATTTCTATACTGAGAACTCCACAGGAAATAAAGGTTTGATTGATTTGTGCTATCGTGAAGTTACTGACTTTGTGCGGCGGAAGCGCGCGAAGGGTAGGGTGCGCAAGGGGTAGGGTCCCATGCTAGTAGTGAATTATCCTATACATAGTTCTAATTTCCCATATTGGCACTGCATGTAGGTCATCTTGTAACCAGAATCCAGGACTTGGAGTACCTCTGTCTGCCTGGGAGCCATGCATCTGGTCGTTGGGCCTCTGAACTGGCCCAGGATCCGGGCTGCCGGCACAATCCCAAAGCCGGGCATGCTCGCTGCAATGCCTGCGGGGCAGGTTTTAAACCGAGCCCATCCAAACTCAGTAGGGTTCACTTTAGACGCACCCCCCCCTCACTTTAGCACAGTCGCATTCCAACTTCATGACCATTCCAGTTTCAGGGACAGCCCAACGCGAGGGGTGAATATATGGGCAGTACATTCATATTAGTCTGCTAATAAGGCTCCACTTGTCCCCAACTGTTCGTGGTGGAAAAGGCTTCATCGGGCACCGGATCTTGCCGAGGTCTCGACCTCACGTCAACACCTGGGGTGCATGCACCGATACCCGAGCTCACCCAGGCGCGCAGGTCGATCTCTGCTCATGGCAGGCGAGGAAACAATCTCGGCCTCACCTCAAGCACGCTCGAGCCTCTCCACACGCTCAAGCCCCCGGAGCGCAGGTGCAGCCGCCGTCCGGCGCGGTGGCACTGCCGGCGATGCGGCCGGAGAACGGCCTTATCGGTCGCACCTCCGACCGGCCTGCCAGGCGTGCAGGAGGCGCAAGTCTCGCTGCAAGGTCGACGATGGCGAGGAGAAAGGGTGTCTCATGTGTCGCGTGCACGGGACGAAATGCGAGTTCCCAAGCAATGCCTCAAAACCCTCGAAGCCTCTGCCTGCAGCAGCCCGCAGCAAGAGGTCCGAGCCGGCGTCTCACGCCCTGCCGCGATCCGGTGGGACATCATCGGTGAGACAAAGACAGCTTCGATCCCTACCGGAGCCGTCCGCTTCCCTGGCTGCACCGCTGTCTCAAACCACGTCTCCTCCACAACACTTGGCGCAGCTGAGGGATGATGGTGTCGCCACACAGCATTCAACGACCATGATCGCCGGCCTGGGAAGCCCCGAGGAGGAAGAGAGCTCCCACATCGTCGGCCCAGTCGTGACGAGCGACACCCAGATCCTGGCGGACTACCTGCGCGCTGACCCTCACCACGGCGCCGGTCGACGGCTTGCACGCACCGCGCGTGGCCGCGACGGCAGCGGATCAGCAGGCCCCGACAACTCGGTCATGTTCGCGAGGGTCCGGAGGCGGCCCATAGGCCAGACGCCGAACCAGACAGTCGCGTCGGGCAAGTGCCTTCTCATCGAGAAGATCATCGAGCCGTTCGCAGACGAGCTCATCGACACGTACTTCCGCAGGGCCAACGCGTGCTTCCCGCTGCTGGACGAGGGCTCGTTTCGGGACCAGTTCCGCCGCCAGCCCTCGCACATCTCGTCGGCCCTGCTGGCGAGCGTCTACGCCCACGCCCTGACCTTCTGGTCGCAGCCGCGCCGCGCCGCCGGGAGGCACTGCCCGGACAGCAGGTTCGTCTGGAACCAGGCTACTGACGCGCTGTATTCGGAGCTTCAGCTGTGCCCGGGCATGTCGACGGTGGTCGCGGTCCTGCTGGACGTCGGGGGCCGTCCTTCGACTTCCATGATTGGCAATGGCGTCCTGATCGGGTCGGCCGTCTCAATCGCCCATGGCTTGGGGCTGCATCGTGACCCGACCGACTGGGACATGTCTGAGCCTGAGAAGAGGATCAGGGTGCAGATCTGGTGGGCTCTCGTGGTCCATGACAGATGGTTCAGTCTCGCTTACGGCACACCTCCGCACATCCAGGCAAAGTTCTACGACGTTCCAAGGCCGAGGGCAGATGGCGGCGGAAATGCGGTCTTCCTGGCTCTCGTCAGTCTGAGCGAGGTCCTCGACGCATTTCTTGTGCACATCTACGCCCTAAAGTCGGACAGACGGGCCACATCCGAGTTCGACCCAGGGGCCGCCCTCACCCAGTGGGAAGAGTCTCTCACTGGTGACAGCCGCCGGCTCATCCTCCAGGGCCGAGACCTCAGCATGCCTGGGGCGAGTAACTTCCGCCTGGCGTACTTGTTCGTGCGCCTTCTTCAGCGCAGGATGGAGCTTGACAGCACGACAGACAAAGGCGAGCGAGCAGACGCAGATGCTTTATCAGGCCGGTATATCCACGTTCGCCAGGCCGCGGAAGATATTGTGCGCCTGGTTCAAGCACTTCGGGCACCACAGCTCAACGATTTCTGGCTGCCTACTTCGGCATTCATCTTCACCTCCACCATCGCCTTCCTGCTGCGAGTCGCGTTGGAGGCGGAGAAAACGGCCAGCGGGCTTGTGGAGAGCATCTCTCTGAGCCTCGCAAATGACCTTCTGGTTGCTTTGAAAGGCCACCAGCAGAAGTTCGGGTGGGACCTAGGTGACGCCTGCATCGCACAATATACCGACGTTGTTGAGGAGTTGCGGAAGGCAACTCCGGTAGCTCATGTCGGCCAAGGGGCTCCTAAGGCATCTATGCCTCTGATTGACTGGCAGGATTTTGATGTGTCAGGCTTGCCTGATGTTGAAGAGCTGTTCCCAAATCTGTGGGACATGTTTGACAGCAACTATTGAGGACACTCTGTACACAGGAAAAAGAGTTTTGATGCAGTGCATTTGCACACTGACATGCGACAATTGGTCGACCCTAATTTTTGTAGGGTCTCCACAGAGGTCTTCTAATTCTGTCACTTTCTTCTGCAATTAGAGCTAACACCACCACCAAGCTTGAGCTCCCGCATATTTTGTGACCCGTGATATTGCCTTGTATCTGGTCCTGGCAGGTTACAGACTGAGCACTCGTTTCTGTCCAGTCAATTATCAAGATCGAGGTTCTGCTACTGAAGATTCAGGAGCTTCGGCAGATCTATGGCTTCTCTGCAACAGTGCCGTTGGACATGATAAATGTCAATCATTATTTGCACTGTATAAATTTGAGAGATGACAGAGACAGTGATTCTAGCTGTCACCCGAGCTTTCTGCATTCCATGTAAAACTGGCAAGCCAGCTCCAGGGCCGCAATTACCTTGTTGCTCATTTTGTTGACACGCAATCCAGCCAGGTATCACTGTACAAGTACCCTCTGTTTGAGAGATCATCATTTTATAGCAAGCCAAGGAAATGACCAAACAGTCCATGACGAATTTTGAAGTTTTTCCAGCTACATCGTGGCCAGTCATGGAGTAATTGTCCTTGAGCAGCGAAACACCAATTCTGTGAAGTATAAATCCCAGGTTCGTGGATCAGAAAGACTAGCCCTGTGTATGATGCACCTTTCGAAGGATATCCTTGACCGATTGAAGACTTCAGAGAGTATTCACAATGAGCTTTCATAGCCGTCTTGCGCCCAAGAAAGGGGCGTGGTTCGCAGACTGGGCCCCCTCAAAGCGCCCCATCGAGCTGCCCCTTCCGAAGCTAGAGTACGATTCTCATTTCGAAGTCTGGGAGTGGAGATTCAGGACTTTACTCAGGCACAACTCACTTTTAGCATTCATCGATGAACCAGGGCCATCAGTCACTTCAGACCCCAAGAACAATGAGCAACGGGAGGAACTAGCTGCAGCCACACACTGTCTTGCGCTTCTGGGATCATGCATCTCCGAGCATATCCTAGCCCATCTCCTGACCCTCACACCATATTACAAGGTCCTTGACGACCCTTATATTCTCTTCAGGGAGGCCAAGAAACATGTCAATGATGTACAGGACCTTTGGAAGGAAACCACCAATCCTGAATTCTGGGGCCTTTTTTCGGGACAAGATGGCCAATTTCGGACAGTCAAACAGCTCTTCGCCAAACTGGAAGACGTTCGCAACAAGACTTACACGAAGAAGAGCTGGCGCACGTTCATCTTGATGGCAGCATTGCTTACCAAGAGGAATTTCCCGCTCTGCCTTCCTCACTCTGTTCAGAAATACATTGACAGAGAAAATGATCCGAAGGTTCCGAAGGTTGATGTAGGCGAGAAAGAGTGGAATGATATGAGGTCTGAGATGATGAATGCGACATGCCAGTGTGGCTGGCTAGCTAGAGCCTAGATTTTGTGTGGGACATTGTGGTTGAGTGACGGAGGGAAGTTATTCAAGTGGACAAGCGTTTACATTGGACACAGGAAGTTTTTGCGGAAGAACCAGTCGGCTCTTGCCAGATGAGGATGAATCATGGTACGACATCATCTAGTTGTCTGCTGGTGCCAGGGAGCTGATCCAATTTCCAACTCTCAACTTGTGAATGATAGCTGGGCCTAAAGGAATTTCAGATGATTCATGACCTCCCAAGTGAAATGTGATATGTACACATTTTCTGCTCCTGTTCTAAAGCTTTAGAAGGCTATGCACACCATTAGTGACTGCACGTGTGGCGCTGCTGCTTGTACGTAAACTTAATCCCAGATGAAGGGTTGGGACAACACAAATCCTTGTCTCTGATACAGATGTAATAAATGGTCACATCCTTTTTTACCACACCGGCTCAGCATCTAGGTCCAAACTTGTCTGTCATGGAATCTTTAACGGTCTTTGCGGATAGAGTGCATCACCTCTACATATGCCTCACACTTGAGTTTTCACTACAATACAGACTTAGACGCCGAGTTTTCGCAGTTGAAAACGGTCAGCCGCCACCCATGCGGGCGCCAACCCGGAATCAGAAGAAAACTTCTGGTCCCATCTTCCCCAAGATCACAAGGATAGCTTTCTGCGCATGATCCCCGATGACGACACGAGGGAGAGGTTCTGGGCGTTCTCCTTAGCCGTGCCATGTAATAATCTCCTTATCTTTGGCCCCCTAGGCATGGGTAAGACTTGGTTCATCGCTATGATTGCTGCTTTCCGAATCTGCGCCTATCGCAAGCTTGCCTGCCAAGCTCTAATTAACGCAATCACTACCATCTTCTACGATCAATACCTTTAAATCTGATGAAGCAATTAAGCAAACGATAGTTGATTGTTGGTTGTTGAGGAGAGAAATCTCCCGCTATTGAACGCTTAGAAGGAGCCTATTTGTAGGCTAGCGCTAGCGTATGGGCATACGACCCTCGCACCTTCCAACACACCCCCCATCGCGAGTATCGTCGTCCTGAAGCAATTAAGCAAACGATAGTTGATTGTTGGTTGTTAAGGAGAGAAATCTCCCGCTATTAAACGCTTAAAAGGAGCCTATTTATAGGCTAGCGCTAGCATATGGGCATACAACTCTCGCACCTTTCAACAAAATCCTCAACCAGGTTCGCTACAAGCATGATTTCCTAGCACTACATTATTACGCCCCGCATATTAAGGTCGCAATTATGCTTTGGATCTTAAGCTCTCAATATAATAAATTAAAGTAGGACTTAAACCCGCATTACAATTCATCCATTAAAATCAGCAATATAAATATTGCTAAGTAGGCGCGGGAAGGAAGTGCTATCGCCGCCATCCTCTTTATTCTTGGCAAAATTAATGATTTTCCTTACGGCATAAAGGCTTTAATATAAATGCGCTGCTCGCCCTTAATTTAACAGATCATAGGTCTTATTAAATAATAGGTGGATGCCCACATCTCTGGGGAAGTTCCCTAGGGCGATATCAACCTAAATAACCAGGGTTGAAATTAGTTTAGTTTAGTTTAGTTAATGGGTCTAACTAAAAACTAAAAACTAAAAAAAAATTAGTTTAGTTAATAGGTTTAACTAAAAACTAAAAACTAAAAAATTTAGTTTTTAGTTTTTAGTTTTTTTTTTTAGTTAATTAAGTTTAACTCAAAATTTTTTTAAATTAAATAAATATAAAAATAAATAAATAAATAAATAAATAAATAAATAAATAAATAAATAAATAAATAAAAATAAATAATAAATAAATAAATAAATAAATAAATAAATAAATAAATAAATAAATAAATAAATAAATAAATAAATAAATAAATAAATAAATAAATAAATAAATAAATAAATAAATAAATAAATAAATAAATAAATAAATAAATAAATAAATAAATAAATAAATAAATAAATAAATAAATAAATAAAATAAATAAATAAATAAATAAATAAATAAATAAATAAATAAATAAATAAATAAATAAATAAATAAATAAATAAATAAATAAATAAATAAATAAAATAAATAAATAAATAAATAAATAAATAAATAAAAATAAATAAATAAATAAATAAATAAATAAATAAATAATATATATATTTTTATATATATTATTTAATTTATTAATTATAATAATTATTTAATTAATATAAATATCTTTTTTTAAATATATATATTAGATTTCTTTTAAAAAAAACTAACGACCCAAACTTCCGCTATAACCTAATGGTATATAGCGTTAATTTATTTCTAAAAAATAAAACGTAATATACTTAAAATAAATTATTATTAAGGGGTATAATATTTATTACTAGCTTATTATATCTTATATAATAAGGAAATAAACTTCTTTTTTTAAAGATTTTTAAATTTTCTTTTATTTATTATTTTATTTATAAACTATATATTATTTTTATTAATTTTTATTAAGTTTTATAAAATTTTATATTTTATATAATATAATTCTTTTTTATATAATTAATTCTTTAAAATACTTATGGCTTTTTAAAAATAAAGATTTTAATATATTTATATTAAATCTGCTAAATGGCAATTACTTATTTAAGACATAACCACCTCCCCTATGCCCCCTACCCTTAGCGTTACTACCTAAATATAATTATTAATATTTCTTTATATAAGAAACTTAAAATTATATAAAAAATACTTTTTAATAGGTTTTATTTATAACTTAATAAATAAAATATTATTTAAAATTATTTACTCTTTAGAAAAATAAATATAAAAGGATATGTTACTTTCACCTTAAATATAAAAATTAAATACTACTTTATATAATTATATAATAATATTAAAATTTTTCTTAGTATAATAATATTATTTTTATATATAAAAAGAAATCTTTAAAAATATTATGTATAATTTTATTATCCTTATTTATTAAAACCTATTTGCCCCTATAAATGCTTTATTTTAAAACTAAATATAGAGCTTATTAAGGCCTATTTACCCCTATAAATGCTCTATTTTAAAACTAAATATAGAGCTTATTAAGGCCTATTTGCCCTTATAAATGCTTTATTTTAAAACTAAATATAAAGCTTATTAAGGCCTATTTGCCCTTATAAATGCTTTATTTTAAAACTTACTTTTAAAACTTAAATATAATAAATATACTTAAAATTAAACTTATAAAGTTTAAAATAAGTAAGTTTAATTAATAAGCTTACATAACTTATATAGTAATAATAATAATAAAACTTTATAACCTTGCATTCTTATATATAATAATATTTAATATTTATTAAAAGTTTTATTAAATATAATAAAATTTAAAGATTAATAATATATAAAATATTTTTAATAAATAAAATTTTCTTTAATAATATAAAATATATTCTTTTTTTTCTTAAATATTAAAGTAAGTTTATAAGTTTTTTTTTTATTAATAAGTAGTTACCATAATTTAGCGATAAAGTATATAATTATAGTAATTACCTAAGTTACTATTAGGAAAAGATTAATTTATTTTCTTTAAAAAGCTATAGCTAATATTATATTAATTTATAATTATTAAGGGCCTTAGGGGATATTTTAAAACTTAATAATTTAGGTTTTATTATATTATTTAAACTTTAAAGAGCAGGGTTATTTATTAATTTATTAATATAATGCTTTAATTATAAGCTATTTTAAGAGTAAATTATATATTTTGCTATATATTTATCTTATTTATTCTTTTAATAGCTATATAGTTTTAAAGCAGTTATTAATACTTATGTATTTTTATTTTTTATAAATTAAATTATAAAGTTTATTTAATTTATATTATATATATATATATATTATATAATTTTAAAGTAATTATTAATATTTATATATTTTATTTTTTATAAATTAAATTATAAGGTTTATTTAAAATAAGTAATATATATATATATATATATATATATATATATATATATATATTATAAATTAAATAAATTTTATAAATATATATTATAAAATTTATTAATCCATTATTTCCTTTAAATCTTTAATTTCCTTTTTTAACTCTTAAATATTATTAAATTTCCAATTCTTTAATAATATTAATTCTCTTACTATCTTTATATTAAGATTAACCCTTAACTTAATAATAATATTATTAATAATAGAAAATATTCTTTTTATAGCAATAAATATAGCTGGAATAGCAAGGTATCTTTAAGCTAATATACTTAATATAAGGTATTAAAATTTATTATTTTTTCAATACTTTAATAAATTCAGCTATTTAAATATTAAAATTTATTTTTAAAAAAGTTTAAATCTTTTTTTAAAAATATATACCTTAAAATTATAAATAAGTTTTTATAAATAAATTATATACTTTTCTTTATTATTATTAAAAAAAGAATTAATATATAATTTATTATTAAAATTATAGCTTCGTTAAGGGGAATTAATAAGTAAAGAATTAAATATATTTTTATTTAAATTAAAAACTTTTAATTTAACCTTAATAAATATTAATATAAATATAAAAATAATAAAGAATAATTAATAAAAAAACTTACTTATTAAATTTAATCCTTAAGAAAGCTTTAATATCTTCTTTTATATTTAAATAAAAGTATAAATACCTATTTACTTAAAAATAAGATATTTTAAAGCTAGGGTTTAAAATTAAAGTTAAAATAAAAGATTTATAATCTTTTAAATTATTTTTAATTAATTTTTAAGGAAAATATTTTTTTAATTTATTTAAGCTAATTTTAATAGCTTTAATAAATATAAATAAATATTCTTTTTATTTATATAATTAATATTATATTTCTTTTAAAATAAAATAAAAAGTAATTTATAAAGTTTGGCTTTTGCTTATACTTTTTTTTATACTTTTTTATTAAATTCTTTAATTTATTATATATTTAATAAATATATAATAGCCCTTAAGAAAGAGTTATATATAACTTTTCTTATAATTTAATAAAAGGTTTTAAAAAAACTTTAAAAGTTTTTTTAATTTGTATAAAAATAAATAATTTAAATATATTAAAGAATATATCTTTATATTCTTAATTTAAGGTATTCTTACTTATATAATTTAAAGGTTCCTTTAATTTTAAGAAAACCTTTAATATTATATAAGTAAAATTTTAATGCATAAGGGTATTTAATATTAAGTTAATATTTAATTTCTCTTATTATTTATAAAAAGAAATATTAAATAAATATTTAAAGGGATATAAGATTTTTTATAATCTTTTAATAAAGATTTACTTTATATAGCCTTTTTAATATCCTTAAATAATAAATTATTAATCTTAATATTATATTAAGTTAATATAATTATTTATTATATATAAATTATTATATTTAAAAAATATTAATATATAAAAATATAAAGAAATTAAGAAATACTTATTATTTTTAATAATATTATTTAATACTATAGTTTCCTTAGAATTTTAAGAATATTTATTTAAATAATCTTTAACTTTTAAATTTAAAGTAAAGTTTTTTAAAATATCTTGCATTATTAAATTAATAATATGCATTATATATTAAGTATTACTTTTAAAATCTTTATTTAAAGAGGAATTAAATTCTTTTTTAAATAAAGTAAGAAAAGAATTATTATTTAATGCATTATTTTAAGTAAAATTAATAAAAATAATATTAATATATAATATATTATTAAATAATAAAAGAATTAAATACTTAAAAATGCTATTAAATATTATATTAAAATAACTTTTAATAAACTTTTAAAATTCTTTAAAAAGAATAAGGCTAGTATATTTCTTTTTTAACTTAAAAAATTTAATTAATTTATATATTAATTAAAATTCTAAATTAATATAAGAAATTATTACCCTTAAATAAGCTATATTAGCTTTAAAAGTTTAATAATTAAAAATAAAAGAAAGTTTATTATTAAAGATAATACTTTCTTTTAATTTTAAGTTAAGCCTTATTAAATTTATTTTAAAAGTATTATTTAAAATACTTTTAATTTTTAAATGATTTATTATAAGGGTAAATTTAAAATTTTATTAATTTTTTTAAAAAAATAATAATAAAAGGGGAAAATTACTTATAAATTAAGGTAAGATAATAAGTTTTAAAAAAACTTTAAATTTAATATATTAAAAGATAAATTATTTTTAATAATAAAATTTAAAATCTTTTTAAAGGTATTATTATTTATAAAATCTTTTTTTAATTTCTTTGCTAAGATAGCAAAGAAATTAAAAGGAAAAACCCTTAAATATAATATTAATATTTATATTAATATTTAAAATAAAAGAAATACTTACTTTTTAATTAAGTCTTTTTACTTTCCTTATTATAAGAAATAATAAGGTATTTTGCTTTATAATAATATTAATAATTTAAACTTTAAAAAAGCTTTAAATTATCTTTATATTTATAAAAATATTTAAATAAATATTAATTTAAAAACTAAGTAAGATATTAATTTAATAAAAAAAACTTTAAATAATATTTTTTTTAAATTACTTTATATATTAATTATATAGTTAAATGCTTTTAAAGAATATTATTAAATATATTTTTATTATTAATGCTTTTTAAAATAATAGCTTTATGCTATATTTAATTAATTATAATTTAATATAAATATAATTAAATATAAATAAAATATATTTAAAAAATAAATTTTATTTATATTAAGTTATATATTTTTAAGATTAAAGAAATAACTTATTAAGTATAAGATATTAATATTTATTAATTTTTTCTCTTTTTAATAGGGAAAAGTATGTAAATAAATAAATTATTTTAAAAAATATAAATATTTATTTTCTTAAAAGAAGGAAATTTATAAGTTAGAAAATTAAATTTATCTTTTATAATAAAAGGTATTTAAGAATTTTCTTTTAAAAAAGAAATATTATAATTCTTAATAAAAATTATTAAAGAATTAATAGAAAATAAAGGAGCAAAAGAAGATATTTTATTTATATATAATAAATAAAATAATAAAAGTATATAGATAGTTAAGGTTTAAGGAGATAATAAATAGGTAAAGTAGGCTTAATGAGTGATAAAGAAAGAAGAAAGAGAGAGAGAAAGAGAAAAAGAAAGAAAGGTTTATATATATAAAAAAAAAAAACGGATAGTTTATTCCTCTAAATTAAATACTTTATTCCTTTAAATTAATTAAATATTTACCTAAAGAAATATATAATATTTTAATTTTTAAAATATTAACGAGCTTTTAAAATAATATAAAAATATATATAAATAAAGAATAATTTAAGGAAAATTTTTATATATTTTTTATATAATTATTTAAATATATTTAATTTAAATTTAAATAATATATGTTTTTATTATAACGAAATCTTGGGTTTTAAAACTATTTAATTTGGATAGTTAATTACCCTAAACTTCTTTTAAGCTAGAATAAGCCCTATAGTTACTTATAAACTTAAAGTGTTTATAGGGGTAAATAAGCCTTAATAAGCCCTATAGCTACTTTTTAAGTTATAGTATTTATAGGGGCAAATAAGCCTTAATAAGCCTTATAGCTACTTTTTAAGTTATAATATTTATAGGGGTAAATAAGCCTTAATAAGCCTTATAGCTACTTTTAAAGTTAAAGTATTTATAAGGATATATAAGTTTTAATAAATTTATTTAAATAAATTTATTTATTATTTATGGAAATTTTTAAATATATATAAAAATATATATATTTATATTTAAAAAAAAATTTAATATTATTATATAATTTTATTAAAAAGTATTTTAAGTTTTTATTTAAGGTAAAATTTAATTAAAGTTAAATATCTATTTTTTTAAAAAGTAAATATATTTTTTAAAAGTTTTTTATATATAAAGATTAAATTATAAGCTTTTAAAAATATTTTATTTATATTTATAACTTTATAAATCATTAAGATATTAAAGGTTATATTTGGGTAGTTATGCTAAGGGTAAGGGGAAGGGGGGGGGTATAGGGTATATATATTATATATAATATATATATATTATATATACTTATAAGAAAGCTAAATTATATATATTTCATAATTCCATAATGTATATAATATAGTTATATATAGCGTTAATAAAATTTGTAATAATTGCTTATGATAATTATAATAATGCTTATTAATTTATTAATATATGAATATAATGTAAATTCCTTGCTTATAATTATATGCTATATTATATATTAATAGCTAGGGGTTTGAATTACCCTTGAAATAAATTTTATTTTGTTTTTAACTCTTTTTATTCTTTTGATTCTTTTAATTCTTTTAATTCTTTTAATTCTTTTAATTCTTTTAATTCTTTTAATTCTTTTAATTCTTTTAATTCTTTTAATTCTTTTAATTCTTTTAATTCTTTTAATTCTTTTAATTCTTTTAATTCTTTTAATTCTTTTAATTCTTTTAATTCTTTTAATTCTTTTAATTCTTTTAATTCTTTTAATTCTTTTAATTCTTTTAATTCTTTTAATTCTTTTTAATTTAATTAATTTAATTTTTTAGTTTTTTAGTTTTAGTTAATAGGCTTAACTAAAAACTAAAAACTACATTAAGTTTTTAAAAAAGTATTAACTTAAAACTAAAACTAAAAACTACATTTAGTTTAACTAAAACTTAAAACTAATTTTATAACCTTGTAAATAACTTCTTTAACGGTAATGAAGATAATGGAGATGCTAATGATGCCAACCATAACCCGGATAATTAGTTGCGGGATGAATATATACAAGCCATGTTAACTAGCAGAAGTTTAAGCGGTCTTATTAAGGTGCTCTTGGTATAAACCTATTAAAGAAACTTTGCAATCTTTTCTACTACCCATATAAGCGCCGGCCCATTAGTTTGAAAATTTATAAAGACTGCAAATAAGTACTTTTTAAATAAGGCACGCTATATAATGGTTCTTAAGATCTCCAGTTGTAGCATGTAATCCATCGCCTTATCCTTATGGTAGATCCAAAGCAGTTGGTATCCCCAACCTTGTCCGCCGATGCACGCTACAACTTTCAGGGGGGGGGGGATGCATACTAGTAGCATCAGCCCCCTCGCCCCGCAGCACATGCTATCGCTCTTGTGCCATGCCATCCCCAACGGCTTCCCTGTCTTCGTACTCTAATAAGTGCAGCGCCGTATGGTGCGTGGTCTCCTCAACTTATTGAAGGACATCTTTTACAAGCACTTGGGAGTGTCCAACAACCAAATGAAGCTTTCCTACCTCAAAACCAAAAACAACTCCAGTGGCCACCACAACCTCAGCTTATCTTATGAGGACTGGGCCGGCAGGGTGCTCGATGTTGCGCCGATTAAGGATTGGCAAACCTTGCCTATATTCATCAATATATCTAACACTCAGGTTTAATACACAGGAGTTGCAAAGTTACGATTTAATAAAATGATGATAATTGTTCTCATCCGTCTCCTCAACCAACTATTACCAGGCGGGGATCTTCATCTCGACGACGTTGCCATTGTCACACCATATGTGGAGCAGCAGCACAGAATCTTGGCAGCAAGTCCATGATTGAAGAGACTATTTGAGTTGAACTACAGAGACAGCTATCTCGTGTACAGCTTTTGCGAGCAGGATGCTTGTGGTAGGGTTGGCTGGGTCAGGCAAACATGCGATTGATTGTATTTGAAGTGGGTTATCCCAGGGGGAGTATTCCTACAGGAGGTTATCCCACAGGAGGTTATCCCATAGGAGGGCACCTAGGTCTAGGTAGATGAAAAAGCGCGTATCAAGGCCCTCTGGGATTCTACCACATGTCGGACCCACTCGAAGCGCTACTGTCACATTTAGGATGCCATCTGGGTGGAAACTGAAGCTGAACGGACCTTAGATATCTATTGTACATTCTTCGAGAACCCTCAAAGCCCTTCTAACACCTCTCCATAGGATCGTGTCCATAAATCACTCCAAGTCCGTACAGAGTTCACTTCTTTGGGTGATAGACGGAGACATCCAGTCCGTTGTGGTATGGGACGGTCAAATTGCTGAAGCCGCTCTCTGGATCCCTGAGGTGCTGCAATAGGTCCTTATACCTCTCCTCCCCAGATATCGTGTTATCGACGATGACGACAGCCCCTGATTTCAACTTCGGCTGCACGATCTTCAGAGTCGGGAGGGCGAGAGGCGCCCATACTGTGCGACGGTGAGCGAGATTCCGTCAACGGAACGTGAGCATACTTACTGTCAAGCAGGAGCAGATCCACCTCCGGCAGGTCCTTGCTCAGCGTCTGAAGCAGGTCGCCCTCCCTCAGCTCGATATAAGGCTCGACCTCCGCGCCCACCTCCATCCAGTGCGCCCTCGCGAGCTTGATCTTCTCGGGCTCCTTCTCCGTGGCGATGACCTTCCCGGGGCCGGCCCTGCCGCCCGCGACGTTCTGCCCGACGGCGAGCGCGAGGTAGATGGTGCTCACGCCGAAGCTGGTGCCGGCCTCGACGGCGCTGGTGGCGCCCGTCATGCGCGCCACCTGGTACACGAACTGGCTCTTGTCCTGGTCCAGGGCGACGAACTTGTCGCGCATGAGATCGTCGAAGGCAGTCGTCCCAGCCGTCTTGTAGACGGCGCTGTCGATGGTGGCCTCCTGCTCGGCCGAGCGGGCGTGCAGCCGGTCCAGCAGCTCGTGGACGTGTGGCGGGGCTACCACCGGGTTGGGGAGGTGTGAGGCCATGTTGTGGTTCGAGTGTGTTTGGATATGGACTGAGAGTGAGCTTCACTATTGCGCGCGGAGGACAGCAACCAATGTGAACGTGTGTTTATATCCGTGCCAGGAAGTGAGAGCTGCATGGGACTCTCTTACAATTGGAGCGGGGTTCCGACGGACGTGCGCGCCCTTGGCCGTCCAGCAGGTACGGTAACATGGCGGACCGACCCCGGCACGCCGCACTCGCGGCCGCTAGACCTGACACACGGGGTGTCGTAGGATACTACTACAGTGAGTCTCATGGAACTATCATCGAGGGTGACGGGGAATAATGATGGCTTGGCTCACTCGTGGCCCGCCAGTGTGTTAGTTCTGGATGTGAGCACATGAGATCTACCAGTTGGACAGTATGAGATAACCTGAGATGTCACAACTCGCCATGTGATGGGTCGGAGCTGGGATGGGCTTCACGCGTGATCCGGAAATGGCACGGATGTCCTCTAAGATTCCTGCTGGTCAGGGGCACGATCGGACCCAGCCACCTCGAAGGCAATATTCGAACACTGATGAGGCTCCATTTCAAGCACATGCACCGTACAACTTGTGCCCATGTAGAAAGAGTCGCGACTGACTGTCCCGCAGTGAGATCAAGTGCCGTGGAATGTGGGGGTTGCAGCTGGTGCTGAGTGAAACCTGTTCGGCTTACGTCGGGACCCTCGTGGCGTACTCAAGGTTTCCTTCATGTAAGTTCATTGGTCAAGGGTGAGGTCTCTCGCTAGTTACGGGCCAGATCCACCTCTCCAGGCCTCGTGTCCCAGCACGCTATCAGACTACCTTGTAAATGCCTCAGCCAGCGGCCGGCTTCTGTTACTGCACCGTTTTGAACACATTCACTCAATGTCCCTTTCCGACTCACCCCTTTCCCGCTTTGCCAGTGGAGTGTGTCGCTCGGTGGCCCAAGGTCGCCGGCCCTCACGTACGACCTTGGCCATCTTCAAGATGGCCAACTCTTCGACAGCACTCACGAGATTTGAACCTAGTGCATATTGCTGTATTGCTGATCTGCAAATGCTGCTTATGGTCCCTACTGAAGTATCACGTAACTGGTATCAAGTGCCTTCAGACCTCCGTCGGCCACCAGAGTCGACCCCTGAAGGCTCCAGTTCACGCTCCCCCACGGCTGCGATGCAACCTTGGACACGTCGAGCCCCTCCGGCAGACTAATCTGGACGGAAGCTGCAGAAGACGAGTTGTCCGGGTTGACAACGCCGACCAGAACCCCCTTGGTGCCACCGTCCGTCACCCAGTAAGCCACATCCAGAGCCCCCGCGCCGGCCCGTCCATCCTGCACCAGCACGGGGTTTGCGCCTGTTAGGAAGCCCACCACCGGCTCGGCCGTGACGACCTTGGCCAGCCTCGCCGTCGCGTTGGACAGTATGTCCGAGGGCGGGTATATCCACGCCAGGCGGGCCATGGCGCCGTGGTTGAAGGCCAGCAGGTCCATGACGAACGTCTCCTCGGGCGTCGGGTCGCGCGCCCAGTAGCCCTCGCCCGAGAAGGCCTGCGGGACCGCCCAGACGGGCTTGCGCGTCGCCACGGAGCCGCCGATCCACTCGGCGTACTTGTGGAAGTCGTCTACGCGCGCGGGTACGTCCAGGAGGCTGCCGACGCAGTTGTCGCACCCGCAGTCGCCGTAGGTCAGGTTGCAGGGCGTGCCCCACTTGTCTGCGAAGGTCGCGTTGATACCCACCGGGTAGGCGTCTTCCATTATGATGTCGGCCCCCACCGTGTACTCCTCGAAGAAGTGGTTCTGGCAGTTGAGGACGAGCGCCGTTGGGTGGTACTTATCCAGCGAGGCTAGAAGGTTGTAGGCGTCCACCGACGACTCGAATGTGTACCCCCAGCCGTCCGGCTCGTCGGCCGTGTAGTAGGTCAGCAGCGATGCGTGGTCTCTGACCAGCGGGATCTGCTCTGCGACCGACGTCAAGTTCTGGAACGAGTTGCGCATGTCGTACTGGAAAAGCAGGTTGACCCGGTCCATCTCGTCGATGCTGTCCGTCATGTTGGTGTCGGCAAAGTCCGCCACCGGGTTGACGGCGTTGAACCCTGCCGCATCGAACGCCGCGAGGTGTGTGGTGTCGTTGAAGTACCCGCTGTAGCTGCCGTAGTACCCGTAGGGGAAGACAGGCTTGAACACTCCGCCTGTGGCGTCGTTTCGGTACAGAAGCGAGCCATAGAGCCTGTCGACCTTCACGACGCTCCCGGTCGTCTTCTCCGGGAGGTAGAAGAGCTCGGTTCGCGCCGTGATGTTGGCTCCGCTAGACGTAGTGCCAGTGAGAGTGACTGAGTATGATGCTGACGTGCTTGGAGTGAGCCCGGACAGGTCGATCTGATAAAGGCTGTCCGTTGAGTTGACGGGCACCTCTCCGGTGACGAGTACATTGCCCTCAACCGTGGCAGTGAAACGAAGGCTGTCAGACGCACCGCCTGCAGCCGATGCAGGAGCAGAATAAGCGGTGCCGTGGTAATACGACAAGCCGGCGTCGACAATCAATTCAGCTGTGGTCTCGCTGCTAACGTAGATGCTGTGGCGAGTTGCGATCTGAACGTCAAGCAGAGGGCTGGATGCTGGCTCTGGCTGTGTCATGAACCCACCAGGGATGATCTGGGCCGACCTACGTAGGCAGACACACAGTAATAAGTGTCAGTGTCCAATCTGATAGGGTACATGACAGGAGACGTACCCATTGTAGACCTTCCCACACCACGTGTCCTGTGATACTACGCTCGATATCAGACCAGTAAATATCGTGGCTGCGAGCCACAGACGTCCTTGAGGAGCCATCCAGGTTGGTGAGCAAGGAGACTATTGGATATCTGCGTCTCACGCGTCGGTCAGGTTGCACGTCTTGCTTGCGAGGCCGGGGTCAACGACACAGCACCTGCACGTGCGCAGGATGTCCGGTTCATCTCATCCGTGGTAGAGTAGACTGCCGCAAATGTCTTCTTCTGCCCCAAATCGTCTGCCCGCAGTGGCAAGGTTGCGCCTTCCCCTCTCATTAACGTTGCACTGGTGAACGAGCCGGGAGAGGTGGGGTTGCCGCGATAAGACCCCTGGTGGCCAAAAAAGGGGGTCGACCTACCGAGCAAAGCGATGACTTGCATACCATCGATTAAATCAGGTTAAATGAAATGGCTTTATGATTATGGTATTGTTCAATTCGGGTTGTGATTGGCAACCTGAGTCGTGCCTCGAAGTATCCAAAGACACGCGGCGTTCTCGTATGTAAGAATTTCCTTGCATACGTCACAACCAACTTTCGATGACCATGTTGCAAGTGCGAACACGAGGACATTTACGTATCGAGGATATTCGGGAAAAAATCAAGTGAGTAGCTGAAGAGACCTCGTACATTTACGGGTCCTGTTCCCAAGTCACTTTTACCAGACTTCAGCGTAGGTCAGAGAATCGTATCACCAGCACTTGCCTACGCAGATCTTTTTGCTTTCCTGGATGGTGAGCAACATGATGTTCAGGAGTGAAGACCCCGACGAGAAACTTGACCTATAATATTAATGTCACTTGAATTCCATTTTCCATTGCCTTGAACACATTTTGTATGTCCTAGACATGTGAGCCTTTGCATACTTTTTAAGGCTGATGTACTGTCATTTGCAAGGCAAAGGATCTCAATCGAGCAAGGTTGCAATTCGACATACGAAGCGTGATCTGCCTTCGCTATAAGGAAGCCATGAGAGTAAAAGAAAATGAGGCCTTCCAATGAGACCAAGCGGCTGCCCCTCAAGCTGCTGCTAAATCGCCCAATCCATCCCGTTCAAAGCTGACGAAAGACAGAGTGGATCTCGTTATTGTGGTCCTAAAGCAGTGAATGGCCGTTGGTAGTAATCGCGAGCTCAAGGTGGGATTTGCAGCAGCAAGTTCCGATGTCGCCACGTGGCTAAATGGTTGGCTTGTTGGCTGGAAGCCTGGCCTCAAACGGTGTAGCTACAAGCTTGCGTCCAAGCTACTCGCGGCACTCATTTCTGCAACGTAAATCCCTGACCGACACAATGGTAAAGCAGATTCCAAATGCGGTGGGAAGCTCGGCATCGCTCAGAGGCGCCGGATCCCTTGTGTGTGAACGTTCCCTCGTCCCAGGTAGAATGAGGTTAAATCATGTCATAAACGAACGTTCATCCAATCGAGAACCGATTTGCTCACGTGGTCTATTTTTTCAGTCTAATTACGACGGCACATGGTTCCATTCTCACCGCGATGATGTTACGAAGCGGATATATGCGCTCACAAAGGAGCAGACAGCGAACCTACTACAGTTCCTTAAGAAGGAACAGATTGATGGGTCCACATGCCCGTTACCGATCCTGGGAGACATCACGAACCGGCGACGGCTGGATGAGGAGATTGCCATCCCGGAGTTCAACGTATATCGGGACCGATGGGAACGGACAGTTGATCACCGAAATTGGTATGACCATCGTGTCCAGCGGCAGTGTTGCAGAGAAGCCATAGACTGGCCGGGACTGCTAGATCTTTAGAACGAGAACCTCGAGCTTGATAGTTGACCGGACAGCACGAAGACTCCCTAGTTCGTGAAATTCCAAGATCAGATACAAGATAATAAGTAGTACATTAGTGCCCAAGTTCTATGCCCAAGCAACCTCTGCACGGTAACCCAACACGAAATCATCTTTCATTTCTGGCCCTTGGCCCCCAGCAGTTCGTCCATCAGCCTTTTGAAATCCCCTCCGTCCGGGTATTTACCCTCATCTCCCGCTTTTCCGGCAATGTACTCCGCAGCATCGGTCAGCTTGGCCAGCTTATATCTCTTGACGAGCAAGGCCGTGACCAAGATGAGATTCCGCCACCTGTCTGAGTCGTCGCCTTTTCCGGGAGCAGGGTCCAAGGCGTTGGAGAGCGTCGTCATGGTGGCAGGGCTCTTGGCATCGCACAGAAAGTCACGCAGAAGGATGCTGCCGTCCTTCCGAACCATCTGTACTGCCTTGACGATCCGCCCGACACGCTCAAAGGGGACATGGGGGGCCTCGAGGTCCTCCTTTCCAGATGACAGGGTGAGAATATCGGCAAGGATAATCTCAGAAATGCATGATGCTAGAAGGGCGGCACAGTATGTGGCTGAGGCAGCTTCCTCGAGATTGTCATAGAGCGGCCATGGAGCTGACGTGAGGGCAAAACGCAAGAGAGAGTTGTGCTTGAAAATCAACTTGACTCTCCACTTCCAGACTTCCAGATCAGATTCATACTCCAGAGTGGGTAGAGGCAGCTGGACTGGCCGCTTCCACGGCTCCATGTCTGTGTACCACGCTCCCCTTATGGAAGGAGAAGATGGCGCAGGGTTCATTTTCGGCTGTCTTTGAGATGTGCTGTCAATAGATTCTATGCTTTGGAGATTGCAATGCACATAAGTATTGGGTTCCGAAGATGCGAAGTACGAGGCTTATATCCCTCGGAACTTCATATTTTTGCTAATGGACAACAATCCGTGACTAACTGTGTCGTGGTCAGAGACTGTTCTTCGACCTAGGCGCAGAGAGCTTTGATATTGAGGACGGATATTCACACAGAAAGAAACGAATGGTATACAGATACATTACACGCCCACTGCACTCATACCCAACACACCGACACCGACACACCCACATTCAATTCACCCACACACCTACACCCAATTCACATACCAGATTTGCACACCTAATTTATATGCCTAATTTATATTCTCATACGCTCATATCATGTGTAAACTAAGCGTATAAATCAATTATGTAAATTGGGTGTGGGCCTTATATTCTTACTAGCTGCGGGAATATTATTCATGAGGTATTTGTGTACCATCTGTTTTCTTCTGTGCGAATATCCTTTTTGAAAACCGGCCATGTTGAGATCTTGCTAACTCGCTGGTTTGCGTATAAACAGCATGAGTGACAGAACAATTGCCGCCTTGGAGCTAGCAAATCAGTGTTGGTATACCTGAATATTCGTCCCTCGATCTGACCTGCCGCTGAGTCTAGAATAGTTGTGAAGTCAGAGTTTTACTGCACTCATACTGAGAGGGCGTGAACCTAAGATGAGCTTTTCTAAGTAAGGCTTAGCTTGTTTAAACTTACCTAGTGTATAAAGACACCCTATATTGGGATATGCTAGCAGCCCAGATCCTAAAACCATTTAATTAGACTATAGGCTAGGCATGCCTGCAGCCCGGATCCTGAGACTATTAGATCAAAATATAGGCTAGATAACTAAGTAAAGGATTAAGTTAGCCCATATGCGTTGCGTTACTTATAATGATTATAATACCTTAAGCTGTAATGCAGTCGGGGCTATTGCTTTCGTGATTGATTTATTAGCCATGCCGCACTGACAGCTTCGTAGGTTCTAACTGGTACCTGGCCGGCAAGCCTCATAGTACCTTTCCCAACTACCGAACAGGTAAGGCAGTCATGCATACTATAGCCCTTAGCTAAGGGGGCAGTGCCGTAGTCGCGATTTAGGCACTTTTATGCCATCTCCGCCTTGCAATACCCGTCCAGCCAACCATAGCTAATAAATAGCCGTTGATATTTCTTATCTTTAACTTAGTTTACACTACTACGCCGGGGTTATATTTAAGGCTAACATAACTTCTTAAGGGATTGGAAAGCAGAAAAACGTGGATAATTGTTTTATACCAGCATTTAATACTAGTATACGGTGCTTACGCAGAGACTAGCCTTAGGCAAAGAATGGTTAACTAGTTACCTGGCCTTAACACTATAAGTGATAACTTTAGCGGCCGGCCGGCGCAGGAGAGGGGTGACCAGTCCCAATGCAGAGGAATAACTGGTCAGGAGGCCGGTACAGCAGCTTCAAGAGGGGTTGGGACCAGTCCCAATAGGAGAGCGATGACTGGTCGCAGGATGACCAACAATGTAGTGATGACTGGTCGCAGGATGTGACTAGTACCAATACCAACAGCGATGACTGGTCATGACGTGTGCAGCGGGTAGCCTGGGGGGTGATGACCAGTCTTTGGGCAAAATATCTCCAGCAGCCCGTGAGTGGTTACGTTGAGGCCGCCCATGACCGGTCACAATGGACTGGGTCACTCCTTTTCCTCATCACAACGTTGGAGTCCATGCAATTGCCAGTCTCTAACCAGTCATCCTCTCCAGCGATGTAACTGGTAAAATTTGCCTTTTGGCTAGTTTTTTTTTTTTTTTTTTTTTTTTTTTTTTTTTAAAAAAATCCAACTTCTACATAACTACGACATAAACCATTCACAATTAGAGGTAAGATAATCTGATAGAACTTAATTCACTTACAAGCTGTCTAAAGTTCTAAACTAATAGTCTAACTTTAGAAATGTTACCTAAACTCAACTTTTTATTAATCCGCTAATGTCTCTCGATTTCATCTTAGCCGCGATGCGAGCTAAACGTTGTACAGCCTTGGTTGTTGTGAGGTTTTTAATGACTATCTTAATACGTGATAATGGCCTTAATTTAGCTAATTGGCATACCTTTTGTAATCAATTTAATGCTTTTGGGTAAGCAAATATTGGTAGGCCTAGGGATGAGGCAGCCATGCTATGTAGGATGCACTTACTCTTGCGTTAGCGATGATATACCTTTTTGAATTCTTTTAAATTAATAGCAAGAAACTTATTATTATTGCTATCCTTATTTATTTTAGCTTACTAGCTTATAGTTAAATAGTTACGTTACTTAGCCTATTAACTGTATTGGTGAAAGGTATCTAATTGGGTGCTTAGGGTTGCCGCTTTAGTTGAATTATTCTTTATTAGGGTATGGACTGCCTTGGTTGTATATATATAAAATGATAAGGATATAATGGGTTCTAAGGAAGAGGGACTAAATAGAGAGAAGTCGCGCCTTAAGGGCAAAGACCCCTATTTATATTAAATACCTTATATGCCGTGGCAAGGCGGCTGCAAGGCATGTATAAATCCTAAGGCTAGGATATAGGATGTGTGCCCATTACTTTTAATCCTAGCTTTGCATTAGTATTTTGTAATGGGCTTTAAGATATAAAGTAATTACGGAGAAGGTGGGTTCTTAGTAAGGATAAATTGGCTATCTCATTCTTTTGCTAAAATAAAGCTATAATAGGAATAATATAAGATTAATTTAAAGCTATATAACTTTAATTGCGGGACCTACCTAGGCCATGGATAATAAGCCTTAATAATGAATTCATGGCTATGGAATAATAATAATGGGCGCTTAGCTAATTGTATGCTTCTTTATATTAACCTCCTTGGTTATAAGCGCTTTATTAAATGTATTTGCAAAACCTCCCTATGCTATATATTATTCTAAGGCGTTTAGCTAAGTATTTAGGGTTGCAGCTTTAATTAAGGTAATCTTTTTCATTACAAGATGGGGAGCCTTTAAATGTTAACGGTATATAAAAAATTCTGCGTATACAATGGCTCTTTAAGAAAGAGGAATTAAAGAAGGAGGAAATAAGCATTGGGGCGGGGGTGATGGCGGGGATATGTTTGCTTATTTATAATTAGCACGTTATATGTTAAAATACTATTCCTGATAGTATTATTATGGCTGGATTATTATAAGCGGTGCTTTTAGAACCCGGGGCCGGGATGGAGAACCTAAGGTTAAGATGGATAATATTTTCGCGCTAACCCCGATACTGTACTTGCATCAGTGCTTAATACTAGAACCTAGGATATAGGTTATGCTATGTGATTTATATTAGTATGGGGTACTTGTGGGTTAGGCCTTATATGTCTTGGGTAAAAGGATGCCCTAGGGTGGTTGATTGGTTTTTTAGCTTGGTTTTGATAGGGAGTGTGGGTTTTTAGCAAAGATAGCTGGGTAATTTCATTCTTTTGCTATTAACTAAATACATAGCTTTAAACAGGAAAAACATACGTTTAATTTAATATATGCAAATAGCGACGGGGCCTGCTTAGGTCGCGAACGGCAAGCCTTAATGACGCTGCTTTAGTATAGTGATAATGGGTTTTTAACCAACCTTTTACTTATTTTGTTTAACCTTATTAATAATAATGGATATGCTTTACCTTATTTTATATAAGCCTTGAATTTATAGCAAAATCCATTGGTTTGGTTTATTAATAATATACTTAATCCTATATATAAGCAGCTATATATTATTAAATATATATTTAGTAAAGGTGTAATACATGATTTTAACTACCTCTTAGAGAAGTCTTTTTAATGTTAAGCCTAAGTTATTAATATTAAACTTTAGCCTTAGATTTATACTTTTTATACCCTTTATAAAATTCGTTATATTATCTTTATAATCTGCCTTTTTTATAAAGAAGTGCTTTTTTATATTAAGGTTGTTTAAATTAAGGCTTAGTAAACTAATGTTAATTTAGCTATTTATTATATAATATATCTTGCTTTAAACATTTTTTTATTCCTTGATATTAAGGTTTTAAGTAAGTAAAATATATTATTAGCCTTTAAATAAGTCCCTTAACTCTTCCTTATAACTAATTTACTGCTGCTCGCGATTTAAGTCCTTAGTAAGGAGACTTGATTCATGCCTGCCGCTAACTTTATATTAGCTACCTAGAGTGTTCAGGCTGTTGGGCTGTTACAGCTACTAGTATGTGTCCTGATAGCTGTAGTAGCTGGAAATACTAGCTTGAGAGTATATATTGTCTAGTGATGTGAGCGCTGCTGGATATCTTTGCATGAAACTTCGGGCAAGATCTAGTAGCTGATCCTCGGAAGTACCTGGCTTCTTTAGTTTGCAATATATCTTGCAGCGGAAGCTGATATCGGTAAAATTACAGCTGTATAAGTGGTATTCAAACTTGATTAGGATCCATTTGTTTGAGCCCTTGGTCTTTGAACTAAATATTGTGTGGATAGCTTCTTCGAAGCCTATAAGGGCCATTCTTTAGTAGGGGCTGAGAAGAAAATAAAGGTGTGCGCAAAGTGCACTTCGCGCCCGGACGGGCCCCTTTGGGGCCAGCCGTTTAAGATGACTAAGAATTCCCCGCACGCGGGGGACCTAATTAAAAGCTCAGAAAACTAAAGTCAACTTATCTATTAGTATTTCTAGGGAGAATTTATAAGAAGTACTAATATTTTACTTCTCTTTTTTATTTTCTACCTCTCTAAAAAAGAGGTCTTAGATTACGTGACTAGGCTTATTTTATAGAGGAAAATTCAGAGAATATTCTAGTATCCCTACCTCCCTGGGAGAGAGAATTTATTCTTTTTCGTGGGAAACCAGTAATGTGGTTTACTAGTGAGTGGCGGATATTAGTAAGTGGCGGATTTTTGCAAC